AGGTACTAATTTAATTTTGTAATTAAATGCTTTACATTTTTCCAAAAGTCTAGACTACTTTTCATGTATCAATTACAATCATAGCTGTAAGTATGCTAATAAAAAATCAAAATTAATTTACTTTACTATCAACTTAATTCCTATTCCAATCTGCTATCAATTAAAGATTCAGTTACTGAGAAAATCCACACCAGTAACTATTGCACTAATGAGGTTACAGTATAAATTAATTTATCTTCCCACCTCCTCCATAAAGTTTCATTCTTTGCAAATTTCATTTTACATATTTATAAATTCTAAATTATTTATCCTCTAAGGACATTATTTTTCTTGGTCATGCTAATATAATTTGACCCTTGAAAAAATTAAAAAAAAAAAAAAAAAAAAATCATTAAAAAAATAAAAAAAATAAAATAAAAAATCCAGAAGAATTTACTTCCACAAAAGAAAATTATGTACATATTTTAAAAATAATGATTGATAACAAAAAGCTTTTTAAAAAATTTTATCTCCTTTATTTACATAAGATTTGATAAAATTTAAAAAATTATTCATCATTCTGATGGAATATTAAAAATCTATCAATCTGTACACAAGAATGTTTTGAAGCAACAAGAATTGGAACTCATTTTTCACTGGTAACTGCATCCAGAAAACATGTTGAAAGTTTTCTTTTAAAAAAAAAAGGAAAAAAAATTGACAAAGTTGCCCCCACTCCCAGAATGAAATAAGTAGAGAGGTAGAATCAAATTAAGTTTTTCATATTACATTATCAAAAGACTAGGATAAAAAAAAAAAAAAAAAAAATTGCACGTACATATAAATACTTCATAACTTCACAGCAGTTTTGTAGCCGAATTGGGCATTCAAACTGGGTACAGAAAACCCACTGAAAATTTTAATGGTCCCAATAAACTTTCCTAAATAACTTCAAGGAAAAGGAAAAGAAAAAAAAATATCAAATTATACCTACATCTGATACATTTGCCTAAAAATGAATAAATCATTTTGTACTGCATTGTTACAAAGAAAAAAATATGACTTTCTATAACAACTTCAATTCAAAGAACTATTCAGGAATAAAGCTAGAAAGTTTGAACATAAGATTTTTCTTTCTACACATACTTGGAAAAAAAAAAAAACCCTAATGTATCTGAAGAGTGATCCACATATGATCAGAAACAATGCTGTCTAATGTGAAGATGTTAGTGACACTGTCAGCATTGTCAAAATGTAGCAAGTTAAAACAGAAACGTTTGCCACTTATCAGCCAAATAAGCACAGAATACCTTGGACGGAATCAAGAAAATTATAGTGCCATTTTGGCAGCTCTACATAGACACCAAAGGTTGAAAGGGGGTCAATGAGAGCCATGGAGACAGGACACTGCCAATTCAGTCTATATGTGGGGAATGTTTGTTTACGAATATTACCAGTCATTCCAATAAAGAAAATGGATGAAATTAATGAAAATCTACAAGATGAAATAAATATCATGAAAACTGTATTATTCCAGATTACACTCTTTTAGGATAAATGTATATAGCAACTTTTCAATCATTCAGCGATATGTATAGTACTTATACATGAATTTCATTAAGCCAACTATTTGTACTCTTCTCATAGTTACTTAAATTCTATTTTACAGTTGGTAATTTTTAATTTTCCAATAAAAAAAAAAAAGAAAAAAAAAGAAAAAGAAAAAATGAACACTTGTTAGAAGTAACCAAATTTTAGAAAGAGTTCCAATGGTATTTTAAAGTGCATCTAATCATTCTGTCAATTATTTTGTTGCATCCATTACACAGCTGAGAATGCAAAACCAACAAAGATCCAACCCAACTTCACCCACTAAAATTACTTAGAAACTAATTTAAATAGATCTAAAAAGAAATATTCTGTATTGTTAGTTATTCTAAATGCTTTTTATTCTTTGACAATTTCATAAAGTAGAAGTTATTTATTCCTGCCAAAAGAGATTATTTTGAATTAATAAGATAAATTTTTATTATTACTACTACTCTGTAGAAATGGTTATTAGAATCCCATATCAAATTTATTAAATTCCAAGCACCAATGTATTTATGCTAAGTCCAATTCAAAATGCAATTAAATATTAATTTGTGGAATAATTTCATTGGGTCATGAAAGGATTGCTTAGAGATGCCTCTATCCAAATGGGTGATTAAACTAGAAATAACTGTCAACTGTGTTTTATTTGTAATGTAAGAAGGTGTCAAAATTTTAATGAAAGATATGAAAATTTTTATTTTTACAAAAATATTATTAAAAAAAAAAAAAAAAAAAAAAAAAAAAAAAACCTTAAAATAAGTGAGGAGTTCAATTGAACTGCAAATGAATTCTTATAAGGCATAGGTTTTATATATTATAGGAAGAGTTATTGGTAATTCAAGAAGCTGAAACTGTTTATAACTTAATTTTAATAGAGATAAATTGAAACCTTTTATCAAAATTTTGCTAATTATACAATTTGGTGTTACTATAAAGAATCCATTGGAAGCTGGACTTAAGTTCAAGTGATGAAGAGTTACTTTCTTGGTCACTATTCCTTCATGTGATGAGAGAGCATGTTACATTCCAATGAAACTATTGCTCTCCAACTAGAGTTTTCCATTTACACAAACCTTCCATTCAGCATTGGAACAATATCAGATACAGACAATTTCATCACAGTCAACCCAATGTGTTGTGATTATGAATCTATGGCAAGAATACTGGAAGCACGCAGAATCATCACAACCATTCTGGAACAAAATCAATCAACCACAGATGAATGTTCTGCAGTTTACAAATTAGGAGAGTAATTGTAATTGCAATACATTTTGATTGTATGCCAGCAAACAAATCCATCATCAATCAGCCAACATGTCAATCATACATTTCTTGGTCAAGCTGGATACCCAAAATGGGGAAACATATGTACAGTTTGGGAAGTTACAAAGGGGAGAGGGAAAGGAAACTCCTGAGAAGAGGCCCCTAATCCAGTTCATTACTTTAAATGCAATTCAATTTAGCCAATTTTGGGCCCCAAATCATTTCAGTCTGTTCTTTTACTTTCATTAAAATTCAGAATAACACCTTTCAGTTGACACTCCAGACTACATCTTCATATTTAAGAATGAAGTGGGTGGGAAATACAAAAAATGTAGGTGGAGAATAACTGAATTTATATGATGTGACTCATTAATATAATGCCAAAACTTGTGTAATCATTAACTAGTCTTAGTTGAGACACCTAAGACTATTTTGTAATGAAAAAGTCATTGACACTAAATTTCCATATCACATGCAGGAAGATTGCTTACATTTTTACAATCAGATTCCAGAATCACAGGGTTTGTTTTGTTTCTAATTGGTTATTGAGAACATGAACCATCAGACTACATACAGAATTTTAGGCTTATGTAGATTTCAGCATTTTGCTTTTACTTTCATTTAAAAAAAAAAAAAAAAAAAAAAAAAAAAAAAAAGGGAGGGGGCGATCAAAACCAGTTCCATTTCTAACAATGGAACTAATTCAGCATTTCAAAACTTGAAGCTTTGACTAATTGATCTAATATAGGTATAGTAATATATCAAAGTGAACCCATCAAGAACAAGCTTATGGAAATTAGACTGCTTCAAGTAAGAATTCAACTGTGAAGACTTTTTTTTTTTTTTTTACTTCTTTTTAAACCACTGGTAGTTGAAGAGGTAAAAGTATGTGCACTGGTGTAGTGCAAAATATCAAATATCAGAAAGCTATTTACACAGGAAGACATCCATAAAATAGCCATGGCAGCAGAAATGTAAGTGGATTTAATTTAAAGTGTATATTTCCAACTTTAGTCATGAGGTAGAAATTTACAGCAAATGACATCTGTATACAGAAGTGTTTCATTTAAATTCAATATCAAGTCTTTCCCATCAATAAACAATGTAACGATCATTCTGAAATCAACTACAAAAAACGGAACCAAACTAAATTGTATTTTTTACTTTAGCAATATTGGTTGCTCAAGTAAAAATGGCCACAAAGAGAAAATGTCTAATAAATCTTAAGTACAACAGCTAAGATTAAAATACTTAATTTATACAAAAAAAAAAAAAAATGCTATTGCATTAAGTGAACCCAAAGAAGGCACTTAATTTCTTTTAAAATTGGGGCAATTAAAGTTAAAAAAAAAAAAAGTTCTGTTTGGATTCTATTAAGTAAATTACAAGTATTGATCATATTGAAGCTCATTCAAAATAGAAAATAAATTTGTGCAGATTTTATATCAGAATTTTCAGATGGATAAAGAAAAATCAAAATAGTCTGTTATTGTATTTTTGTAGAACTAATATAATAGTCATCTGAAGAAAAACTGATCTAAGGCTTTTGATAAAACTAAAATTTCTCAACCTATGTAAAGCCCATTTCAATTATTTGAGCTTTTTAGTTAAAGTTTGAATTATCACAGATTTATTTACTGAGCTACTCAATAGTCATGAGTGAACAAAAAACGTTAAAGCATTTACACTAATCTATTGATCACCAAAGACAATACCTTATATATATATATATATATATATTTTAATTAAAGTAAATCCGATTTGTCTTTTAGAGAGTAATTTGGTCCCATGTGACATTTGTTTTTAATGTTTAAAAAGAAAAAATGTTTCTAATAAATAGTTTGACAGTTCATGTTCTAAACACAGCCTTCTGACTAAGTAACAATTGTTACTCACTTCCATTGTTTTGCTTGCATACAGCTAACATAAAAACTAAATCAGTTTATCCAACTACCAACTAATTTGAACAACAGATGTAACAAGATTAAACAACAGAATATGTCAAGCTATTTGTTGAAATAGCAGCCACAAAAGATGGCTACAATTATAGAAAAAAAAATGTATAAAAGAAAGAGTTTTTCTGATGTAAATTTTTGACAGGCTACCGGAAAGGAGTTTTGTGGACGTCTAGACACGACCTTCTTTTCCAGATGCCTACTGTACAGTCACTGAAAGAAAAAAAAAAGAAAATGGTTGTTTTTTTGATGTTTTTTTCTATGTATCAAGTAACTTGAAGCCATAAATGAAAGCTAGCTTTTAGAAAAATTTTAAATAAAAAGAAAAAAAATGAAATAAAATTCAAAAAATATCAAAATCAACAAAATCTGACAAAAAATAAAGAAAAAAAAAAAAAAGAAAAATAGCATTTACAAATAACTTAATTTCATTTTGCATTCAAAAATTCAACATTAAAAAATGAAGCTTAAAGTCAAATGGATTTATAAGATGGAAAATACAGATAAAAATAAAATTTGAAATTAAAAATGTGATCAATCTAAAACATTTGCATTTGTTAAATGTTTGGGTATGTAGGTAATATTCAGTTACAATATTAAGACAAAAACTCCTTAAATAATTAAACTTTTACATAAATGACATGATTTGCAAGCCTTTAACTATGACTTCTTTTTATTATTATTATTTAACATTCCATCAGCCATTCAGGAATGAATCAACTTGTTGCCTTAAAAAAGAAACTTAAAAATAATCAAGAAAGCTATTGAGCAATATTTAAAAACAAATTTTTTTTTGTTTGAGAAATCCCACCACCATAAAGCTTTTAGTATAATTGATCCAAATTATGATCTCCATTTAGTAAGTAGTTAGTAAAATCCTGTTGAAGGCAATAAGCTGTTGATTGAAGACTTCATGCAGAAAACAGAAAAACTAGAATTGGACTTGGAAAGGAAGTAAAATAAATTAGATGTATCATTCTAAAATAGTGAGTGTTGCAAATGCAGAAAGTTTTCCCAAGACTTTCATAGATTCAATTTTACATATTTTGATTTTAAATATTTGTTATGCAAACGGATCTTTTCTTTTATATATACGTTTGCCTTTAATGTACTTAAGCAGAATTATATATTGTATTTAAAAATTGCATAAATTTGTATTAATTAATCTACATTTGCAAAATATACAAGTAAATAAAATATAAACATGTTCCCTATTAAATATCATTCTAAGGCATTCCTTTTTGAATATGAATAAAGTCAAATGTTATTTTAGAAGGTTAGAATTTTAATATATTTCTCCCAAATAAGTTTCATTAGAATAACCAATACCAAAAAATGCAATAATTGTTGCATATATTTGTAATTAGAAGTACCTGACTTCTAAGAGTTTCCAAGTCCAAGAGACTTCTTGCCACCAAACAGTGACCATTTAGTGAAGGAGTTAGATGAAGTGATAAGTTTAGTAGGCAATTTTTTTTTTTTTTTTTGATTTTCATGCTAATCGGAAAATATTAACATACAACGGATAATCGCACTTTAGTGCCTTCCCGCAGTTTCCAGATATGGCACTTGCTGGATTCCGGATCACTGGAAGCAAAGCAAGGTTCAGGGAAGGATTAAGGTTTAGGGAAGGAGACACAAAAAGGTTAAACAAAGATTGGAAAAATAAAAAGTTGTGCACACACGCACAGTACAGTTTTTCAGAAGACAAAGTTTTTTGTGGGGAGGATATTTCAGAAAAAGAAAAACACACTAGAGAAAACAAATAGAAACCCATGCAAGAGGCTTAAATCCGAAAGTTATCAGAAAAATCTTTATCCACTTACAGAATTGTCATAATGCATAAATATTTTGAGTCAAAAGAGATGATGTTCAAATGTCCCAAATTTGCAAAACATTGCTAAAGTAAATTTGTTACAACTTCCTATTTAAAGAAGCTCTTCCAAATTTATATTTGTTATTATGGTCTTACCAAAAATTGAATTAGCATTTTCTTTCAACTTCAACATAATTTAAATAAAATGATTATGAATATATAAAAGCAAAAGATCATTTTCTCAAACATTTTTTCAAAATCACAAATACCAAAGTTTTAAAATTTTGTGCTAATAAAGATTACATGTTAAGAAAAAAAAAAAAAAAAAACTTTATCCAAATGTTTTCATAAAACCTTTTGTAGAGAAATACTAAAAGAATTTTTATTAGAAAAAATGACTAACAATTAGCAACTAAAAAGCAAAGAACAAAAGATTAAAACATGTGCAAAAATTGAGACAGAAACAACTAATCAAGCTTTATTGCAATTTTTTTTTTTTGCCTTTGAAATATCAAACATTTCAGCATCCAATTTTATCTTAATCTCTTCAATTACAAGAGGGTATAATACCATAAAATGTTTGCTTTACATTAGCAGGACTAAAAGTTTAAAATCATTAAAACGATTTCTGTCTTAATCCTTTAGGATTCCATTTAAAATGTTAATCAGTAGCATTTAGGTAACTTATTTCACATATATATATATATATATATATATATATATATATACACACACACATTTATTTGATCAAAGCCAGAGAGGATATAATTTTAACATCTATCAGTTATTCAGAAGCTAACCATAGGAATTAATCTTCAGAGAAATTTATGCTTTCTTTACATGCAAAACCGGATCAAAAATATCCGGATTTTTGCCATGGTAATGGACCTAAAGTACACAGTGAAGCCACATGGCACAGATGACTTGTCACATACACACTAAGTTATATTGTTACTCACTTCCATTGTTTATAGCAGTGCTTGGAAAGAAAGTGTATAAAATGTGGTTGTCTCACCACACTAGGGAGTCCATCAGTAACCATAGTTTGTGCAACAGTTTTTGGTCAAGTACAATATTCCCCAGGTTTGACAACCACCATATTCCATAGACCTCACATCCTTGCAACTTTTTCCTCTTCAAAAATCAAATCCCACTTGAAAGGAACAAGAATTCAACACTAAGGAAATCCAAGAGAATGTGACATGACAGCTGCTTGCTATCCAAGAATTCTTCCATCAGTGGAAATGATGCTGGATAAAGTCTGTGTCCTCAGAAGGGGACTACTTCAATGGAGATTAAATGCCAAATTCAGATATGTAGTTTTCATTTTATAGCACCAATTCCAATACTTTTTACATCCTGGGTAGGTATGACAGTAACTACATCTGACAGCAAGGTTTCTGATCAGGATGTTTTGAGGAGTGTAGAACCACCTCTTAATTGCTGGTGTTTCCTGACCCTGGCATGGTAGCACCTGTTAAGGTCCCAGCTATGGGCAAATAGTTAATCCCAAACTGGGATCAAAACACTATGAAAGTGTAAAAATAGGTTTTAATACACACAATACATTTTTGTAAAAAAAATTATTACCAGCAATGAATTTTTAAGGAAAAAATACCAGCAATACATTTTTGAAAAAAAAAAAAAAAAAAAAAAAAATTACCAGAAATAAAAATCTTGTCAGCATTAAATAACCCATTGAGGTTGATATGCTGTAAAAAAAAAAAAAAAAAAAAAAAAAAAAACCAAACCAATACTTTTTGATTAGACCTTGCATATGAGAAAACCAATACTTTGTGCAACTAAATTTGAAGCTTATTTGTGAAATTTGGATGTAATTATTAGGTTGATGAGGAGAAAAAAAAAAAATTTCAATTTCACTTTAATAATGGTAAAAACTATATGATAATAAAAAGATTCTAGATTCAAATGTAAAAAGCAAAAATCCTTTGGAGGGTAAAAGTCAAGACAAGATTTTATCTAATATACCTCATAAATAAAGATCAGATAACTTACTTTGATGCTGTAAAGATGGCTGAGGAATTGGTAGCAATAGCAGTAATGGGAAAGTTATGAGCTTTGATCTCTCCAATTTGAGAACAATCACCAATTTGCCACAACTTGAGGTAGCCACTTCGACAACCACTAAGCAAAATATTGTGCTCTGGCATCACTGCAAGACCACAGATCCAGTCCTTGTGTGCACAATTCACAGACTAAAAATAGAAGTGGAAAAGTAAATAAAAATGTGAACACAATCTGAACATAGACAATCAAAATCATCACAATTTACAAAAGATATGTAACATTCAGCTCCTAACTTTTAAAGTTTAATTTTCATTTATTTCTTAAACTGATTACAGAAATTAATGTCAACCACAATTAAGGAAATTAATATCTGAATATTCAAAACATTTGAGAATAATGTTTTAATACTATCACTAAAAAGGACTTTTTTTATTACATTATGTAATACAAAATAAACATAAAACTCTTAATATTTACGTCATACCTTATATAACCAAAATAAACACCTGAAGATGGTCAGATGGTACTTTGCTAAAGTGGCATGTCTATAATATTTATATTGTATCTATGTCAATGATTTTACAAAATTGTATTAACCAATATTAAATTTTCAGAATATCTTTATCTAAAAAAATACTATGAGAATTTCAGCTAATATTGTAAATATTTCTAATAAAAGTTGAATTTATTTGGTAGTGTAATATTATACAATTCTAACATTCATTTTGTAAATAAATACACACAGCTATTGATTTTTTTAAGTTTCAGATATATCTATAAATATGGCCTCAAAAGAGGAATATGTTATTGTAAAGTCACCAAGTGCAAGAAAAATGTTGCAGAGGTTACCAAATAAAAAATTGAAAATATAGGCAAGAAAAAAAAAATCACTTTAAAAAAGTCACACAAAAAGGAACTAATTGAAAAGTAAAGAGTAATAAAGAAAAGTGAACTTATCAATAAGAAAATATTTGAAGCAGCTAGTGTTACAAATGTAAACAGAATAAACACTGAATATTATAGACAGTGATTGCTTTCATGTCTTTATATCTTGAAGGAAATATCAGAATGATTATCAGACTGAGTAATATTGGAAATAATTTATCTGTGATAAGACAACCCAATTACCTCTGTCTTATGATTTGTATACACAAGTCACACTGTCTTAGCCAAAATGAAAAGAATCTTCAGTTACATTCAATAAAGGCACATTAAGCCAAATTAGTTTTCATTACACTAACAAAGTGCATTTAAAGGAATGAAGGACTTTACAACTACTGGTGAATTTTTTTCTGCTGCTCAAAATAGAGTAAAAAAAAAAAAACGAAACAACACTCTTTTCATACAAGAAAAATAATCTAACCATTGAGAAAAATAAATAAGGATAGATTAAAACCAAAAATGTGAGAATCATTTCTTCAAAATTCTCATTGTAACAACAGTTTATATTCCACCATTTTCTACTGAGAGAGATATTTACACATCAACAGGAGTACTACTTAATCTAATGAAAATAGTGGGATGGATACTTAATACAAGATTCTAGATAAAAATAAGTAAAAAATAAATTAAGAATTATCTTCTGAAAAATTTTTTGAATAGAAAATATTCTTTGAAATATTTCTTCACAGAACTGAAACTCATTTTAGGCATAGTTTTATTACACTAGAAAGGTAAGTGCGTGTGTTAACCTGTTTCATTTGCTGATCATTAAGATCCCATTTTTTTATGCAGCGATCTCGGGAACCACTGAACAGATTATTATCCTGCATAGCCAGAGATTGGACACCATCATAATGAGGTGGTTCCAAGTTATATGTTGGAGAGATGAGAGTAGATGTTGTATCAGGTAATTCAAAAACCTACAAAAAAAAAAAAAAAAAAAAAAAAAAAAAAAAAAAATACAAGTTTCATAACATGATAAACAGTATATGGTACAAAATTAAATTTTACTAAGTAAGTTTAAAAATAAAAAGGTATAAAAAATGCATTCTCTTTGAGAGAAAGTAATTATAACTAATAAAGAATGAGTTCTCTTACATAACTTTTTGTATAATGAAAAGGAAAGAGTATTCATAGGTTTCCACAAAAATATCTCATACATCCTTTTTAAGGATTTGTACAAGGATTTATATAAAATTTAAACTAAATTATGTGCACTAAAGTTGGGCGGTTTGGCAATTTATGTTTCAGTATCGGTTTCCATTTTTTTTTTTTTTTTCTTGATACCACAGTATTCAATTCAGTTTTTCGGTTTTTAACTTAATATTTTTCCTTTTTAAGGAAATTATTTTCTTGTGTAATGATAGCATTTCCAGTCAATATCTGATTTTGTTTGAGATTGATAAATTTGCAACAGTCTGTTCAATTCACAAATTCTTGTGTATTTCTGATCCAAACTTAATATTCATATGTAATTTGTATGGGCTTTTATTCATTGAATTATTTTTTGATTACATTAAAACGGTATTTTGCTTCAAACGGATGAAAATGCGAAATTGATTTTTTTTCGAGACTAAATTTAACATGTTACTTTGTTTCACAAAATCAAAGTGACCAATCTATCAATATTCTTGAAATTGTACAATAAAGACATTAAACTACAACCAAGAAGATATTCATTTCTTCTAACTTACTTTACTTCTAAAGTAAACAAAAAAAAATAAATAAGTGTCTGACATCAACAAACACTCACTTTTGATTAAAGTTTATTTATTAAACTTTTGGATAAATTGTCAACTATTAACAACTACCATATTTATTAACAAATTGGTAAAATACAAAAGAAATCGTCACATAAACTATCTATATTTTTGTGTCTTTGGACAACACATTTGAGAGAGAAAATGGTATAGCTTTCCAGAAATTAGTTTATATGGCTTTTAAAAAATAAAAAATAAAAATATAAAAAAAAAGTTTAAAAATAAACAATAAAACCCCTCATGTTTTTAAAAAAAATATCAATTCTTTTCTGGTACACCAGTCAACTATTATTGGGGTTTTGCAAATAAATCTCTTCTAAACAAGGAAAATCAATGAGTTATTTTTTCACATAAATAAATTTATGTTTATCTAGCAAATACACAAAAATAATTAATAGCATTTAATTTCATTTTTAAAATACATAGATTTCCAAATCTGCAAGTATCACTTGTTCTTTTTAGATGCACATTTTAAAATCGAAATTAAAAACTCTTAATCATTTTATAATCTTAAGTGTATTTACTAGATAAAACCATAAATATATCTGTAAAAATAAAAAAAATTAATTTTCCTTGTTTTGAAGGATTTTATAGACAGAACACCCACCAAACTATAGTGGCTAAAAAAGAATAATTTTTACTTTGGGTTTAAGAAATATAACTTGCAGTTTTGAAAATATACACATTTTAAACTGGAGATTAAAACTTACTTTATTCGCCAAACAGAAACATTTTATTTGTAGAAAACAAACAATTTTATTTTTAATTTTACACTAGAGACCCTCATATCTGGAAATTTACAAACAAGTTTTAAAAGTGAAATTAAAAACTATATTAATTTTTAATTCTTAATATCTAATTTAGGTGCATTCCCTAGATAAAAAAAATTTATAAAAAAAATCTTCATTCATTTTTCTTGTTTACAACAACTTTTGTGTGATTGGCGTAACTGGCTTTATAGGAAACCCTTACAAAAAATCCGACTTCATAAAATTTAACATTAAGACAAAACTATCAACTATTTTTCTTTTATTTTTACTGGCTATTTTGTTAACTTAATTTTACCACAAAAATTTTTTTTGAAAACTGAAACAAATAGATTTCAGACATGTTGTATTTTCTTTTTTTCTTTTGTAAAACAAACAGATTTCACATTTATTTCCTAAAACTAGTCAATTAAATGTTTTTAACATTTTTGTTCAATCTTTTTCTCTTCAATGGTATAAATGTTGATAAAATTTAATTTTATTAACATCTGAAAGTCTTTTACAATAGTGTTTCTTTGGATATGGTCACTCAGTAGTGATATAAAAATAAAACTGAAATCTTTCGCTTTCATAAAAAATTTCAATGCGGTTTCACAGTGCAAAGATGAAACCGAAAAGTCATTTTTTCAGTTAAACCGCATATATCTAATGTGCACACAATATCAATCAAATATTTTTAAATACAGACGAAGTTAAAATTCAAAAACTTGTTCAAATCATAAGAAAAAAAGAGGTTTACCTTTATATAATGATCTTTTGATCCACTGACAACAATTTGCTTGTCTTCCCTTCTAGCTAAAGCCAACACCATTACCTGAGCCTGATGTCCAGTAAGTTTACTTACACAACTTTGGCTGAAAGCAGAGAAGAATCACATTTTGTAGATATAGCACTTATGCCCATATAATTTTTATTTTTAAATATATATATATATATATATATATAAAAAATTCTATAAAATGTATTTACTTTTAGCTTGAACTAAAGTAACTAAGATTTTACCAATAGAAAATGCAAATGTATTCACTACAATATTTCATTCAGATAGTGCATAGAAATTTCCACAACTTTAACACACTATAACAAAAAGGCATCTTAAAGTATAAAATCTAATCATCTAAACAGTGATTTTACAACTTATTAGCTACAAAAATCTCTATAAGCCTTATTTTAAAGCTATTAACAAGTAATTTATGTATCTTCCTCTCACTAAAGAGACTTTACAGTTTTCAACAACATTGTTTCTCTTCCCCAGTAATATCACATTTAACACTTCAGAAACTTACATTGTTATTTTATTCTATATATATATTAAAAATGTTCTACAATTCACTTAACTAAGGTAAAAATTAAATTTAAAAGTTAAGATAAAAGCTCTTCAAGAAGATAAAAAGTAGAGACCTCCTGACATCCCATATGCGAACCATGTTGCCAGCAGCTGTAAACAGGGCATTGCCATCATCAGTGAGAGCAATGTCGTTAATGATTTGCTCACCACGACCAAGTTCCCCTTGTCGAGTCTGATACATTGTTGGAACACTGGTTAAACCAGAAGAACTACAAATGCAAAAAGAGATAGGATTAAATAACCATTTCAAGTTTCATATTTAAAATATAGGATAATTTTCAGATAATCAAAGATATTAGCAAGTCATTGTAACTACAAAATTTGGTAGGAGACATTTATCAGCACAAGTTTAAGTGAAAGTCTTGATAAAACTTCCAGCAATTTCAAGAGCAGAAGCCCAAGTGTTTGGTGGTTTCAAGCAGATTAATACATTTAGGTAAAAGATGAAAGTAATATTCCCATTTCAGGAGACAGAAATTAAAACTCATTAAATTATAACCAATTTGTTTTCCATTTAGAAACATGAAATTTTATTTTAAAAATCACAAATATTAAAATATTTAAATGTAAAAAATTCAAGTTTTAAAGTTGTTCAAATTTTCACAAAATTATATCAAGATTTCAAAACAGTTATTGATACTTTAATACTTTTGTAAAGATCTAAAATAGTAAATATTACTCACTGAAATGTAATGAGACATGTTGGAGTGCTTTTGATTCGGATGTCCCAAAGCTTTACTTCTGACTGTGATACAGTGAAAAGTGTACGTGTTGGTTCATTGTACTTAACAACAACAACATTATTCGGATGGCCTGTAAATGTTTGCAGCTCCAAACCAGTGTTCAGATCCCAAGCTTTTGCTGAACGATCTAGGTAATAAAAAAAAAAAAAAAAAAAAAAAATATCAAAACTGCAATATATAGGAAGACGTGATTAAATTTGAGCATATTTGTTACTTTCCAGGATAAAATTGAAGTGAATTTTGCAATAAAACATTCTGTTCTACTTGTGGATGTTAATATATTAACATTTTAAATTCTGACAAAAATTTGGTTTCATTTTTGGTAACAATAGTTCAAAATATTTTAAAGTTTACGATTTTAAAGGATTCAACATGCCTTTCTTACATATTTGGGAGTTTTAACAGGTTGGGGCGGTTACAAATCAATTTTATGATTTTCCTATGAAATTTAATTTTCAATCCACCTAGATACCAAAAAAAAAAAAAAAAAAAAAAAAAAAAAAAAAAAAAAAAATTTTCTGTGATGATATTTTGCAAAATCCCAACACTATTTTCACAGCAGTATTTAATCAATTTTTTTTTTTTTTTAAATATTCTTACCTTTACTACTAGTAAATAATAGCCTTTCAGTGGCATAAACCGATAAGACAGGTTTGCAGTGACCTTCTACCACATGGGAACAGAAAACTGGTGAAGTACGTCCACCAGTATTAACTCTTGTGATACTGCCTCTAAAAATAGAATCAGAAATTTATAGAAATTCTCAAAATGTGAAGCACTGCTATAAAATATATACAATTATATTTTGAAAAAAAAAAAAAAAAAAAAAAAAATATAGAATAAAAACATTTGACTGTTCACCATAAAATAAAATGGAATTAGAAAATTGTCTAATAGAATTGTACTCAAAATATTCATGAAAAATTGTTTACAATAAAAAAAAAAAAAAAAATTCATCTTATTGAATATATTTCATTTAAAACCTTTAGGAAAAGCTTAAAAATTAATCTGATATAAAAAAAATAAACTGATGTAATGATATAAAGTCAGATTATAAAATACAAAAATAGTTGGCAGAGATTAAGTCATTTAAAACTTCAAAAATAAAAAGTAATAAATTAAAATAAATTTTTTTTTTAAATTTAAAAATAGGTCTTTTGCAAAAACACTAAAAGCCTTGAAATATTTATTTTTGGTATAGAAGGGAATTTTCTTGCAACAACTGAAAAATTTTACTGTAATATTTCATAAGTCAGAGAGGCAGAATTCTATACTTTTTGATATTGTTTGGGTCATTTTTCTGCTAAGTCTAAATCCATGTAGAGAATGATTCATTGTTTTCTTTTTTGCAATAAGAGATTTATAAGATTTATTTTCTAACAGGAAAAAAAAATTATTCAGGGATTTAATTATCTGACATTGAAAACTTTTACACATTAAATAAATAAATCCTGGAAGAATTATAAAATTTAAAATATTTTCATTACAACCTAAAAAAAATTTCAATCTATAATTTGAACTGTTATCTTTTTAACAAAACTAAGAAAACCTAATTAAACTTAAAATTTCATTGTTTTTAAAGTGAGTGATAAAAATTCAAAATTGCATGTGTATAAATACTGAAAAGCTACTAGAAATTTCTAGATGTGATATTGTAAAATGAAATCTGATAGAGTGTTGAGGGGAGTGAATGCAAGTTATATTTTGTTAATCTTTGCATAAATGAAATTAGAATTAAAATACATAAAATACTAATTTTCATTTAGTTGAAATTTAGATTTTTTAAAATCTTAACCAGGGTGCATGTTGTAAAATTCATTCAGCTTTCAAACAGCACAAGTAGATATAATGTAGACAGATTAACATATGTAACTAATTTTATAAAAAAATTTTTTTAAACTTAATTTTCATACCAAATTTTCCTAAATCATTTTTAATATTTTGAAAACAGTATAAATCTTAATGGACAAAAATAATTTTTATCAAAGACATCCAGATTTTAAGAAATGTCTGGAGACTTTACTATTTTTAAACAAATAAAATCCTTTCCCATATTTACAATAATTAAAAAAGACAATTTTAAAAATGCAACTCAAAATTCAAATATTACAGTATTAGATTGGTGGCAAGGTCTCATCATTTTACAGTTGAAATGGCTAAATATCCTTTTCACTTGTGAAACTCTTCTGGTTTCTTGCTTTCCAGACAACTTTTATCTTCAAAAACTTAAATGCAATGTCAATTAATCTTCTGTCTTAATTCCTGTTCTTTTATTGTTCTCATTTGTTTTGTTTTTTTTTTTCTCATTATCTCACTCAGTAACCCCCTTGCATCTTAATGGCCATTATATCCTTACCTGGAGATGAAATGATTAAAATATATAGTTATTATGTTAGGTACATGCAAATATTTCTAGTACTCAAGGCAGGAACTTCTAGAGAGTATTAATTTTCAGGTGAAAATGAAATGTATTTTAATCACCGATTAGCTTAATTTTATTGATTAAAAAAAAAAAAAAAAAAAAAAAAACGAAAGATAAAGGAATTAAAAAAAATGTAATTATAAACAAAAATATAAAAAGAAAATTAATACATTATCAAATGGTTAGAAACAAATTTAATTTCTAGCTGTTATTTCAGTTATTTGATGCAATGAATGAAGACAAAAAGAAAAATAAATTTATAGATTTTAAATATTAAAAAAAAAAAAAAAACTCAAAGCAATAAAATTAGAAACAGCCAATGTATAGCAGATCCCTTAACCTTAACAGTATGGTAGAAAGGTTGGATTGTCTTGAGGTGGTTGTGTGGATATCTATTGAAGTGCATTCCTGGGAGGCCCATAAACAAGTTGTTTGCTAGTTATTGCTAGAAACAATTTGATGAGGTCTGCAACATGCTCAATGGGGTTTAAATATAGTGAACACAAAAGCACCAATAGTGCATCTGTTGTCAGCCAAATCTTCCTGGAATGCTGACAGGCTGGGTCTATAAGCTCATGCTGTCCCAACACTGTCCTAAAAAGATGAAAATATGAGTCATAGGCAATAATTCCAGTCTTCCTTGGTGAAATGATGATTTTGTCTAGTTTAAGTGTGGCACAGTAGCCAATGACACAGTTATCAATAATATTAACCTTGTTGATCAATGACTGACCCCATAGAATGAAGTGTATGCAGTACTCTATGTTGACACCAGCAATGTATTGGCATGTAATTTGATGCACTGTTCCTCTTCACCGAGTGGTTACGACTTGTCAGTCACTGGAAATCCCATTCTTTCATCATCTGTGTACACATGCAGTTTTCACATACTGATGATGGCCCTGGTACTATCTGTAGCAGGTGTCCCATTTGGAGGGAGTGCCCTATCTTTGTAGCCCCAATAATTATTCATTGGTCAAACAGTGTTAAACTATTTTATGGCAGTTACAGCTACACAGCCTCTTTACTCATTATATGACATTGGTCATCTAAGTCCATTTCTTGAGAAAGCAAAATTATCCAGTGTACTGTTTTGTTTTTTTTGTTTGTTTTTAATTACTTTCAATGAAAATATAATTCCAATGAAGAGAAGAAAAAGAAAAAAGAAAATTTGAGTACCTGTTGGGATCTGGTGAGCCTGTACACGTATTAGATGTTAATCTTTTGAAAACATCATTATTCCTTTTCCTTGAAACCAACGGGGAACTCTGAGGACTCACAAGTTCACTGCTGTAAATATTAAAGATATTTTCCTGATTTACTTAAAGATAAAATCTTTGAAATAGCTTTGGCTGTATTCTACAAGGGTCAGTCAAAAACCTAACACTACTCAAAGTCAATTTGTAGGTTTCTGTTTTCTTTTTCAATTATAAACTCTAAAGTAAGTGAAGCCCATCACAAAAATTTGGAGTAACTTCTCTTCCTACCGATACTCCTTCAGAATAGCAGCCCGTTAGGACACCTGTAGAAAGCAGAGTGCTGTAAACACTCAGGAGGTTAGTGAATATTTATGGAAAGGCTGTACTTTACATAAGCACAGTAAGTAGATGGGGCAGTAGAGTTAATGACAACTCTCAATCCTAAAGAGAAAGGAAAAACAAATATGAGTGACATGTTCTAGTGGCAGGCCTGCTACTGCTGTGAATGAAAATAAAACCAAATAGATTGATTCTCTCAACAGCTCACATAAGAATCACTATTGCAAAACTGAAAGTCTTCAAGTGAACTATGATAATGCTTGAGGTTTAACACAAAATGAATTCCCAGAATGGTGACAGACTCCATGAAAGAGCAGGGGATGGTTGCTGTCCAATATAGATAGAACCTTACTAAGCTGTACAGTCTTTACCAATGACCAAAATAAATTAAATCAAGTAGCACCAACCAGATTCATCCAGAAAATTAAAGATCGCACACTCCATAGGGAGAACAATAGCCAGTTTTGTGATCAGAAGGTAGTCATACTGTTAGTTTATGCCCAATGGCCCCACCCTAAAGTTCTAATCAGATACCCTCAGAATTTCCATGAAGGCACTGAGGAGAATGGTTCTCCAACAAATAAGTGAAAGGGATAACAATTTTTACACCGTGAAGAAAGCATCCAAGACGTTTCTTTAAGGTAGATACATATGGCCTCATTCAAGACTCAAATACCACAACTGAGAAGAAATGTTGAAAAGTAAATTTAGAATCTCAAGACTATGTCCATTTTACTATGCTTTGTTTGCTCCAATTAAATCAGTTGTAACTAAAGAACAGGCATCAGTTTTTGATTGAATTTCATATAACAATGAATTCATTTAATGCAATCATTAAGTTATAAACACTTAATTATGTAAATTGTTTATGAAATGTAATCAAATATAAACTCTACAATTGCTTATATTCTTTCCTCCAAATTTGACAACTCACCTGCATCTGGGCTTCAAAGCATCTGAAGCACTATTGACTCGGCGGAGTGGAACAGGGGAAAGACACGCTTCAAAATCGGAGCTTTTCCTTAAATTGACAAGATAGATAATTTAATAAAATAAGAGAGGCAGTATCAATACAATCAAATCCTAACTTAACAAGGCTCAACACTAGAAATTCAGGTACAGTACATCTTCAAATACTAAAGAAAAATCAAAGATAACAGTTCTTAAATGATAGTATTGTAAAATCCAAAAATAAATATTCAATGCTGTAATAATACAGGCACTTCATGCAGCAAAAAAAACCTCAAAAAGAAATTTGTCAGTTTTAAATTGCAAGATGTTAAAAAGATTTTTTATTCTGGTTGTTATAACAGAAGTTACATAGAATATTTTCAATCAATGCTCTAGTAGGAGACAACTTCACTTATGATCGTTTGTAAATGATAGCATTGTTATATAATTGGTCTCTCTATACTCATTAATGAAACTAAAACATTAAAGTATTCTTTTCTATAAAATTAAAACTTTACTGTGGTATATTTACAAAAATTGAGCTTAATAACAATGAACACTTGTCTAAAATTAATATTAATTTTATATCACGATAAAAAATAAGATATTCATAATAAAATAAAAAAATAAATTGATAAATGCAGAAAAGTTTGTAAAGTTTAAGAATTGAAGCAATTTAAATTATACCCCATAGTATCAAGAGTGTCAACACTTTTGGTGAGTGCTTTAAAGTCAATATCATCTGAAGCAGAAGTGGGGGTGGTCACTTCTTCACGAGATGATTCCATGAGAGGAATCAAAGTATTTTCCAAATCAGGTGATTCTGCAGAATATAGCAATTCCATGGGCGTAGCAGTCCGTCTGCGAGCCTTAATAGACAAAAAAGTTTATATAAGAAAATATTAAAACTGATCAATGTTTCAAAGTAATTACTACATGACGTTTCAAGTGAGAAAGGTGATATTATACAAATGTAAAGCATAATGTCTTGTATTTCAAAGTTTTAAAAATTTCAAAATTCAGTAATAATTTTTTGCAAATTTTTTTAAAAAATTCCTCCTGTTCATAAAAAAATCATATTTAGAAGTTATAACAATTATCTAAGCTGCAGCTGAAAGTTAACATTAGAAAATCACTAGCATTTTATATAAACTTACATAAGTGATAAATTTCATAAAATTCTCAAAACTAATTTCTCAACTAAAAATATTGACAAAAACTTTATACACAAAAAAAAAAAAAAAAAATATATATATATATATATTTCTTCCCTAACCTGTTCAGTTTCTATTTCTACCTCTTAGATGTCACAAAAAGAAACCCAAAAGAAGAGAGAGAAACAAATCATTTTGACCTTGTTCAGATTGTTATAATGAAGTGTCTTATAGGACAATTTTTTTTATTTTTTTTTTTTACATCCAACTAATTTTACATTAAATATAAATGAATACCCCATGATAATAGTAGGGCTAAAGTGCTACTTACAAAACTACATACTTTTGAAATGCTAATATTACACTGGTAGCAAATTAACTTATTTCAAGTAACTAAATATTTACAATGCTGTAATTCATTCATTTATTCAATTAGCATATTACAATGATGTAATAGTGAAGCAAATTACATTGAAATGATACAGGAAAAAAATGGTGTATGGGGAGATGCAGGTACATGTGTATATATGGATATACACCACATATTTAATAAGTATATTTTCTCTTGCATACTTTGTGTTTTCTTATATATTTCATATAGGTACCTCCATGAAATCGCTAAAAAAAAGAGCATAGCTTGATGAAAAAGACGCCAACCTTGCCAAAAACAAAATTTTATTGTCTAAATGCTTATGTTATTATTAAGAGGAAAGACCAAAGTTTTTTTTAATTATTTTTAAAAAAACTTCCTTCTTTTTAGAACATTCTAAATTTTGATTAAAAAACCTTTTTTCTATTTGTATCAGCGGAACTAGTAAATAACAGACAATTTTTAGCACGTTTTTTTGGTATGACACACATTAATTTGAAAAATCGTGCAAAAATAGAAATAATTATCGGATGTTAATGAAACTTTCAGGAACTATTCACAGATGATCGAAATTATAAATATGTTTTTTTTATGAAAGTCATGGTAGAAATATTTTTTTAAAATATTTATTACCTCCCCATAACTAATTTTATGAAAACACTAGAAATTCGATCGCATCGGTTTTAGTGATTACAATAATTAAAAGCACAGGGCTTTGAGGAATGCAAAATCTTGTTTTTTTTTTGTTTTTAATTGGATACGCAGTACCTGAAAATCAGCTCTGAATTGTAACATACAAAACTCAATAAAACAAAGATATTATTTAATTTCAAATGCTTTTATTTGCTTTTAGTTGTTTTTATGAATATGGACAATATTTTCTGAAAGCAAAAAAATTTTTTTGATGAAAAATGAATTTTTAATACAATTATTTGTTATTTCATTAATTATAATACATTTTACATTTAAGTTGTTAAAATATTATAAAATTAGTTAAAAGTCGCATCGGCTTTCATAAGTGTCCTATGAGATAGATCTTTTTTAGCGCGTTGTAAATTGTATCATTTTGACTAATCAGAAGATACCCAGTAATTAAGAAATGTAATTTTGTGCTTATAATCGAGCTGTAATTATAAAATACGGAAGACCAACCAGAATATAATTAAGTTGCGTTATTTGAGTTAAGCATTGTTCTCCACAGTTAAGGCCTTTACTTTTGTAAACACGTGTAGAGAAGTTAATTTGATTTTTTCAATTTCAACTGAGAAGGGTACCTACAAGTATCAGTATCATCTTATGAAATTTATATGATCTTATTTTTATATTAATCTCAGTTACGACATTTTTCCATAAATGAAATATCAAAATTAATAATAAAATGAATGCAAATATAAATAACAGTAGAATGTAATAAATGTACATAAAATTATAGTATTTTATGTACAATTCTGATAAAATTTCATAAGAAAGGTACCTATAAATTAATTAGATACCTTTCTTAAGAAATATGAAATTTAATGTCACTCTTAACAGTTATTTTAAATTCTTTACAATATATTTCCCATAAAGCATCATAAACGTAAAAAGGTGAAAGCTAAGTACAAAAAAAAAAAAATTAGACCGCTGAAAGTTTTCGTTAAAAATAACGGGGTAAATAATTTGTTCACGTAAATGTAAATTATTTCACTTTTCTCCTTCCGTAGAACAAATTAGCCTCATGGAATTCGTAAATATATCATTCATCACATGTTAAGAGACGCGAAAGTTTATGACCTGCTTTGTTTTATTTTCAAATTACATCTTTTTGGCACAAAAGCTAAGTTAAGTTTGGTTCAAAATATTTTAAATAAACATTATAATTTCTGATTTTCTTAAAATAAGTTTTGAAAAAAATGATAATTGATATTTAAAAAAAATTTCAAAGTCAGATTTCCAGTTTTTTTAAAATGGAAAAAAAATGGTCAATTTTGCTGACTCAAAAAAAACTAGATTTTTAACGAAAAATTTCGGACGTGCTAGGAACGATTAAAAAATGGAAAAAAATACCCCAAAAATACTTTTGACCTTTCCTCTTAATAATAACAAACATTTAGACGATAAAATTTTGTTTTCGTCAAGTTTGGCGTCTTTTTCATCATGCTATGCTCTTTTTTTAGCGATCTCGTGGAGGTACCTAATTTTATATCACCTCAAAAAAATTCAACATCAGATCAAGTTAGACTTAATTTTCAAAGAAATTATTGAAGAAAATACAGAGGTCCTTTTTTTCAACAATGCTAAATATTTAATTAGATACTTTGAGATAAGCAGCCATCGAGATTTATATGTCATGACTAATATCCTGATCAATTGCTTGGTGGCGGGGGCGTGAAAAAGTATAAAAAAGTGAAGTATATTTTTGTTATTAAGCTTAAATAATCATTCATGAGACCTAAAAATCCAGATTTTTTTAGTGCCAAATACAACACTAAAATGTAATCTTCATAAAATTAATTTTTATGCTATTAATTTTCATAGTACAGTAAAGCAAAAATAGAAGGGATTTTTCAAACAAAAACACTGAAATTAAATATAAAGAGCAGAAAAAAGATTAAAATTCAGAAACCTGAATAAATATTCTTAAAGAGTGTGATAAACCTATATTCATGCCATATACTGTCATTCATAAAAGACACAGTATATAGAATTTCCAAGGAATAAATAAATCTATTAAAAACAATGCTTAAGGTGCGAGAGCAAAGTAAAAATGAAATTGAATAATTTAAATCACATTTTACCATATAAAGTTGAATATTCCTTGCAATAATATTTCTAATATATAAATACATGAAAAAAAGACATTTTTATTGAATTTATTATAGAGTAAAAGGCACATCACAACTAAAGTTTAAATACAAAACTGTATTATGATGAGCAAATCAATTTGATCATATACTGAAAAAAATACAGCAATTCATAAAAAAAAACAAAAAAAAACAAAAAACTGATTAATTAGAATGTAAACAGATTAGTATATTTAGCGAATCAAGAAGGTGGGTGGTAAACATGGTAAGTATATGATTACAAGGAGAAAAAGAAATGTAAGACTCCCTTACACTCTCAAAAGCCACCTAAAATATAAAAACAATTTAGTGTAGATTCCCAATTGAGTTTATATTGATACCTTTCAGATAACTGTAAAATCTACAGAAGTTAAAACACTTTCTGAAAAAGAGATCAAGCAAAAAAACATCACTGGTCAACCAAGTTACATTTTTCATACAGACGTATTACAAAGTTTCCATAGAATGTTTGCTGGAACATTTCAAAATCAAGAAAGTTAAAATAAAAAAAAAAATAAAAAAATGCATCAAAAATGTAATTGCATAAAAAAAAAAAAAAAAAAAAAAAAAAACTATATTCAAAACTTAAATCAGCTTGTTCAATTTTCATTGGTTCAAATAAGCCACAAAAAGTATCTTAAAATTTAATTTTAACAAATCTAACTTTTGAAAAGAAAAAAAAGTTACTAAATATGAAATTACAAAACATCAGTTATCACATCAAGTAGTTATTGACCAGTATAAAAAGTATTAGTGATGGTGTCAGTTCACTAGCAAAAACTACTTAAATTATTAGATACTGAAAACTAGATTGATATGCATTATTTAGAATTATTTATACATTGTCAGTGCCTACAAGCTTTCATAGACTATTTGAACAATCATTACAAAAGGTAGTCTTGATGAAATCATAAGATTTCAAAATAAAAGCATAGTTTAAAAATTTTCCTGATAAATTACTAAGTCACAGAATAGAAATAGAAATAAATATGGTTATACACAATATATAAAGCAATGCTAAAAAGTTCTCAGTGTGACCCACTTCCAATATTTCTTTTTCTTACCCCTTGACTAAACTAAGAACTTTTCAGTAATCCAAACACTAGTTATAAATTTAAATTCCTTCATTTTCTATTTCTGCAATAATTATATGCAGTAATCTTAAAGAGATTTCAGGCTTTCAAATAAAGAGGAATAGAATCAACATTTTTTTTCCAAATAAATTATTGGTCTCAATAATTAAAGAAAAAGAAAGTGAACACTTTCTAAGAAATAAACACTAACATTACATGTCCTAACATTAGTGGAAATATAATTCCCATCAAAAATAGCATTATATTTAACACTTTCAAAGTAGTTTTATCTAATGAGAGTAACATTTGATATCTACAGTTGAAAGTTAACAGCAGTTAATAAATCTATAATAGCTAAAATTTAAACCAATTCTTTATCCCTCCATTTACAAGGGGAATGCATGTATATGCATGAAACAATGGAAAAATCTAAAACTAAGTTCTTTATAATGATTAAGATAAAATATCTTAAGATAAACATTAACAATAAATCATTATGCAAATCTTGCTACAGCATGCAACATGCACTGAAGAATTGATGAAGCAGTCATGTAATCTGTAAGTCATAATCTTAGGCAAATCAAACAAATTCTAAAATAAAATAGAAAATCCTAATGAAATACTCTTGTGTGAATATATTACAGGTGACAAGCCAATTATTTATCTGATATTTAAATAAACTATATATAATTTGATAAGTAAATGATATGACTTTATTCTGATTTACAATAAATAATTTTTAAACCTTACATCAGCCCTGTGGCCTTTAAAATGTAACACCCACCTGCAAAACCTATCTAAATAGATCACATTTCATACTAAAAACTTAATATTCCCCTAAATATAAATTAATTGGACCAATTATTCAAATTTTAACAATTTCATAAATGAATTTTGATAAATAAAAAAATTCCATAAAACAGATTATTTCTCAATGAATGTCTAACTTATTCTAAGCAAAAATGTATACAATAAGCAAAATTAGTGTTTAATGAATAAATTAAGAGAGAGAGAGAGAGAGAGAGAGAGAGAGAAAAAAAAAATCAGAAGCAAAGTTGGATAGAAGCTTCAAAGATGATTAAATCTAACCAGCCAGGCAATAAGATGACAGCTTCCAAACTGCCAAGACACTGACATGTTATTCTAATAAGTTAAAAATTTTGCAATGAATGATGGTAGCATGCAATGGATGCAAACTGAAGCATGCAGGAATCAAACACACAACTAAGCTGGGTGTTGATTTAAAAAAAAAAAAAAAAAAAAAAGTACTCTTGTAAGAATTTTAACAATAATAAAAGTAGAAAATTCAAGAAAATAATATTAACTTAAATAGATCATAAAAAAATTGAATATAATATAAAGTTGAATTTTGTTGTTTTAAAGACTATGATAAAAGAATGCTGAAGAGTTTCCAAAATCTTGGTCAGGCAAAGAATCTTTCAGCACCCAATTTGAATAATAAAAACAATACTGGTATGAATCAAAAAATATCTAAAAGATTCTGAAGATCTTTAATAATACTTAAATAGAAAAAAAAATACACGTGTTAACTTTTTGAATAAATATTAAGTTAAAAATTACTTTTAAAACCTTAGTTTAGTTAATTCGTTGGTTTTGTTTTTCTTACAGTAAAAGTTAAGCTTTTAATTATTCAGTTACAATGAAAAGGTGTTACTTTCATGTACAATCAGTGTTTTATTAGAGTAGCCCCCACTCATGCAAGGTTTACGAACAAATCTATTGAGGAAAAAAAAAAAAAAAAAAAACTATCTAAGGCATGATGGGTATTAATCAGCTATAGTACATTGAAATAGAGGGATAATGGTAGAACAGGGAGAGTGATACAAATAGCTGCAGGTGTAGTTACCACGGGGAATGTTCTCATTGGAAAATGTGCAAATCTGTGTTGGATTGCATGATAAAATTTGTTGTGCCGCAGACTATCCAGACGTGATTGCCTAGAATGGAAAGGACGGGCAACATAATTTGATGGGGAAAAATGGTGAAACAAAAACATTGACATAATCACACCAGCTGGAGAGAAGGCTTAATAAAAAAAATAAAAAATAAAAAGATGAAGCAATATGAAAATTACAAGGAGAAATTAAAGCTGAAAATGAAAAAGAATTTGGTCACTAAAAATAAGATGAAGCTATGATTTATCCCATTGTTTTATTAATAAACCAAATCCATTTATAAGGATATTTGGAGGGAGGGAAAAATTGGCTTTAGTTAGATTTAATCAATTTCATTATATCTGAACTATTTTGTTAAATAGCATTAGAAAAGAAGCACTTTCACCCACACCAAATGTGTATTATAAAAAGTTGGATAGCAAAAATGGTGAGGTGGAAGCAACAATTTAATGTATTAAGGATTCTTTGACAAAAAAGCTCACTAAATATGACTAGCACATTTCCCTGTGATTTATTAGAAACAGTTGCAATAAGTAGTTAAAATTTTATAAAGCATTAAAAATTCCTCTTTATTCCCATAAATTATACAAAATCATCTCAGCAGTCAGCAGCAACAATGACTAAAACATTATTTTCAAAACTTAAAACCACAATATATTATAATCTTATAAAAATAAATGTGAGCATTTTTCATAGAATTTCTTTTTAAAATTAGCATTATCTGTCAACAAGGTAAGTTCAAAGGTGGAACAGAAATGCTATTTAACTCAAAAATAGAGCACTAGGAAATTTAATCCTATTATGAGCATTATATACAAAAGAAAATTGAAGTGATGCCTGTCATGCCTATAAGAAAAGGCTTGATTTTTAAGTCAGTGTTTTTACATCACTTTAAATGTCAAGTGATTAAAACTACCTAACAACATTTTCTATAAAGTCTATTTTAAAGTGATGAGTGAAGCATTCATATTTGCTAATTTAATGACTTAATACACTACAATATTCTTGTCTGCTAATCCAGAATGAAAAATAAATAAAAAATACACACAAAAGACATTGTTAGTAACAATGACATTTAGAATTAGGTACCTCTAATCTAGATTTACCCTAGTTAATAGGAGCATGCATTTGTTTAGCTGTTGGACATCATGTCAAAAACAATGAAAACCTACAAGTTGAGAATTGCAGGAAACCGGACTCTGTATCTTCTTGCAACATGGCCGCACCTATAGGGAATCAATATTAGAGATTGAATCTCACTACTTACTTGAAAAATCCTTAATTTTGCATGAAAAGTTCAAAGTGTCTGAATTTCCCAAGTCTTACAAATAAGAGTAAAATAGTCTATTCACAATGACAACTTAATTTAAAAAAAAAATAAATAAATAAAAACTGACAATCCTTGTCGTTTTAATGCCTGTAATTATAAGAAATAAACTGTAATATATTAAGAGTCATATTAGGACATTCTTTGAAAATAGTTGGACAACAATTTATACATACAAAATATAGTGAAAAATTGTGTGTGTGTGTGTGTGTGTGTGTGTGTGTATATATATATATATATATATATATATACACACACACAAAAGGTCAAGAAAATAACTATACTCAAAAATCTCATACAATGGATGCCTTTTGATAAAAAAAAAAAAAATTGTAATTGATTATCTTTTGTGGGAGTACATTATTTCAGTGAGTGTAGTAAGAAGCATTTTTAAAATCATCAGGAATGAGTCTCAGTACTTTTGAATTTCACAATTGCTTAATCATGCCTTTAATGCAATTGGGATGGAAATTGTTAATATAGATTTCTAAAACTTCCTTAAAAGTAGCAACATTTAAGAGTAACAAGATTCCGAGGAAGGGTAAATTACAGAAAAGTTACATTTTATGAAGACTACAAGTATGAAATAACTTGAAGGAAATTTGATAAAATAAAAACTAAAATGAATTTTTTTTCTTTTGCCTTGAGGTCTTTAAAAACCAAGATCATATACAATATTCCAAACCTTTGTTTTTCTATATAAAATATTTTGAACTTCTGAACATGTATTCAATCATATAGATTTATATGACACTAATTTAACTGGAAAAGAAATCATTAATGTTAAAGTTTTATCTAATCAGATTTAGTACTATGAATTAAATTCTCAAAAGTTTACTTCAATGGGAAATAAAGGATGTTAAAAAAATGAATTCTATTTAAAATAAAAAATACAACCCAAACTGCAGTGTAAATGCTTCATTTTAAAATTAATTCATCTTTTAGTTAATAAAATAAATTAACTTGACATTTTTACATTTTTGCCATACACAAATGTTTCTATATAAAGAAAAAAAAATAAAATTAGTATGACTATCTCTTCAGTACAAGAGAACAGTATGCTAAATGAGCAACCAATTTTCTATACTAAACAAAGACTGTTGTTGAAAGTCTCTTGCTAACATTACTTTCGTTAGCATTCCTTCCAACACTTCCACTGTTAAGCAAAAAACGAGTATTGTTCCCACACTTGAGTCACAATAATTCAACAATCTGGATTTAGAAAAAAAACAAAAAAAACTGACCAACATGGTTTACGAATCCCATTACTCTAGTTGATATTCAGATATTAGCCAGTTAATATTGCAGCAGAAATTTCACTCATTTGCAATTGTGCCATACATGTGCAACAACAAATTCCATTATCCACAGTTATCAGACTAAAGTAAACACCTTTTTTTTTTCCTGTCATCTAAAAAAATACAAAATATTTTTGCAAGTTCTAGGAAATAAAAAATCTATACAAATTAGACAAGATTCAAATCTCATAAAAAAAAAAAAAAAAAAAAAAAATTACTTAAACTCAAAGCTGAAGTATTTCCTTCAATAAATTTTCCTGTTATTTCAATTTGTTCTAATATGGACATATTCGCACACAAAACAGTTACTAAAGTCTAAAGATTTGGTACCTTTAAAAGAAAAAAAGTGTTTAAATTTATAAACATGCATTTCAATTATTGGTGTCATACTTAATTTCTCCACAAACACTAATGAGTATTTTTATTATCAAAGTTTTGTTTTTTTAAAAAAAAAAAAAAACAATCAAATTTAAGGGATATGAATAGTAATATAATCAGGTCAGTAATTAAAGAGTTCATGCTGAAACTTACTAAATGAAAAATAATCCCATCAACCATTATGAATAGAGAAAAAAAAAAAAGGAGAGAAGTCAAAATTTGTTAACTATTGTTTCCAGCAAAACAATTTATATCACTGCTTTGTGAATATATAATCAACCAAATGCAAAGTTTATATTAAACAGGCAACATACAACTTCTACAAGTCTAGTGAAATGCTCAGCACAGTAGAAAAGATATTCCTTAAAAGAAAAAAAAGCCATTATTTGCAACTATAGCAACAATCTAAAATACTGACCTTCGTTCTTCTGGCAGAGTCTCCAGCAGCAACTGTGGGAGATGTTTGTTGGTTTGCTCTCTGTCTTTCGAACATGCTGATTAGTCCATGTAGATTACAGGGCAGGCACACAAGGGAGCGAAGAAGAAACAGCAAGGAGCAAGAGGAACAGAAAACAAAGACATGCAGTGGGTTTGCTTGCTAATAGGGAAGTGACACAACATCAACAACAAAGCCCTGCTTAAATTTAAGGGCATGCATCTGAGTCCTTCCAAGAGTGGAAAACAAACATTGGAAGCTGTCACAGGAACTAAGACTACAATCTAGTATATCTACAGATGAACAAAATACAGCTACCTATGTTAAAAATCTTTCAAATATGACTTAACAGCAGTAGATTGCAAATGATAAACACAGTTTATAAAAATATATGACTAAAAATAGTATCAAGCATTTTTAACTTTGCAACAGCAAATAATTAGGGAGAAATGTCAGTTTCTACTGTAAACTTTTCCTAATAAAAAAAAAAAAAAGTTTCAATATTTATTTCTAAAGCAAATTGCTGACCAATTGCCAGTAAAATCATAATTTCAATAGATTTAACATTTGTTGCTATAAGAAAAAAGAATTTAAATCTCCCATCCAGCAGTTTCACTGTTAACTTTCATAAGAATCTTTTTCTCTGGATAGTTTTATTTCCATATCATTTGGAAAATAAATTCATGAATATTCATTATTAGCTATTTGCAATCAGCCACAAAACAGTAATTTGAGTGTCAAATATACATTCATTTCCTGTATTTGAAATATAAAATTCACTGCTAAATTTTATAAAAGTACATCATACAATTAGGAAAAATAAAAAAATGTACCAGTTATAGCTTTAATAGTACATTTCTCTCAATGAGACATTCCTGTAGAACTATAAAAACAATTCAGTCAATATACAAATTAGTATTTATGTAATAGCACCAATTCTTGCTTTTATACCTCAAGTTTATAATTGGTTTTAACCATACTCAAATTGCAATAAATCAGATCTCGGGAACAAATTTTTAAAATTTATGCACAAATTTCTCAAAAATTGTTTCCTAACAAAAATAAAAAAAATCTATTCAAGAGAAAATTGAAATATTTTAAACTATTTATATCAGCAGTAAATGAATTAGTTCAAATTCAATTTTAGTATTGCTTATGAAGAAATAAGTTGCCACCATTTAAAAAGAATCAGTCAAATGCATGCTTTCTGTTAAAATTAAAACAAGTTACAAACTTGATAAATAAAAATGAATTCAGCAAGTTATATATTGCAGTTGAGCAAAACTGAAACCTTGCTCTATTTTGATTAGTTTGGAAACCTGTGACAACAGACAATGTCAGCTGGACTGCTGCAGCAACCCATACTTACACGAGCAGGGGATGAATTTTGTTTGACACTCATGCTAAAAAGTTTAGAAAAATAATAGTAACACCAACAGTGACAACAATATACAAAAAAAAACATCAAAATAATAAAATGGTGATAATGATAATGACAATAATCTAAGTATAAAAATAAAAATTTTAGAAAAATAGAAAAGGCAGCATTCTGTCAACAGGCACAGGAAGGTGTTGTGAAAATTTTGTAACAACAGTAGTAAGAGGAGTAGTAGTAGTAGTAGTAATAGTAATAATAATAGTAGTAATAGTAGTAGACTAAGTGAGGAGCGGTTCTCAAGACCATAACAACTCTAACGCAATGAAGCAAACTAAGACAACAGCAGCAAAGCAACAAAAGTCACTGGAAATCAAACCAATGTCACAACAACATGGGATGGAGGTGGGGCAGGCCATGGTGATGCAAAGAAAAGAAAAAAGCCAATTGTTAATTTCAATGTAAGCAGGATTAAAATTAAACAATGTCAAATGTTATATATTTATACTTTATATACAACTACAAAAGAGTTATTCTCACCCTCAAACAAAATGTCATGTAAATATAGAGAATTCAATAAACTTCAATTAGTTTTCATTCAGCTATATACTTGTTGAATAACCTTTAGCAAATTCTAGTTACCTTACCTAATTTTTCAGGTTTTCTAATAGATTAGAACCACGATTTAAAAAAAAATAAAAAAAGCACTTATTTTCAAACTATATTAGAATTCAGACTATGATCCTACATCACAAAAATCTTCAGATTTTGAACAAATATTTCAAATTGAAGTAATTTTACTCCAAGTGAAATAAAATTGGAAATAAGCCTTTTTCAAATATAAAAATCTTGAAATGTAAATAACTTTATCAAAGACAACTAAAAGATTATGATGCATATTTACAAGTCGTACATGACAAAATGAATGAGGAAGAAGTTGGCATGTTACTTTACATGATGAGTGACTTTTGTTGGCCTGCTTGTTTAAAAAAAAAAAAAAAAAAAAATGCTTCCATAGACAGGCTTATTGTAACACACCATGGACAGTATTTTTCTGAGTCTACTTTCAAGAGATAACTTAACTACTAAGAGGAAAGGTTTGGAAAGAAAAAAAAAAAAAGCACTTTCAGCAGAACAGTTATTACATAAAAGTGTGCTTCCAATTTGAAGACATTTAATTTCTTAATATTAACTTTTTACAAAAAAAAAAAAAAAAAAAAAAAAAACACTAAATTATCTTGTCTAATATAAAGAATGTCAAAAAGCACCTTCATTTTTTTCTTTATAAAAAGGTTTCTAATAGAATTCTAGAGACATCACACTCTAAATAAGCAATAGTAGACATTTGATTGATATATTTCACATTTTTATAGAAACTACAATACATGCCATTACATTCTGCTGTTGAAATGGCCAAAACAAAAACAGGCAGTTCTACTGCATTTTAAATAAAGATCTATACATAATGAAACTTATATAATCATCTAATCTATATTCAAACATTTCCAGAAGAAATAGAATTTACTAGTGGCAGTATTTGAGAGGTATTTATTAAATAGAATCATTGAAATCCAATCAAAATATAATCTATTAATTTTGTCATGTTAGCATTCTTTACAAAATCTTTTTTAAATACAGGACATACCCAGTTTGGGCACTTAAATTTTAAGTGCAATCATTTTCTGTTTTGTAAGAGTTGATTTTAATGACTAGAAAATAGCATACTTAAACATTTTAGGAGTGTGTGGCTTCTGAGGTCATTCAAAACTACTTGGATTTAGAAACATTTCATGAAACTACATAGTACGATGATCAATGTCAAAAACCAGTTTTATTTGTTTGTAGAAGTTCAGATGTTAAGTGCAAAAGGTAGCTAAAGAAATAATTATATCTTTTTCTTGATTATCTTTCATCATTATATAATTCCTATATGGTAAAAAAAATTACTATGTTCTACTTAAAATCTTCATTAGATTTTGTTAATCTTCACATTTCTATTAAAATAGTTTCATTTAATAACATTTCAGAAATGTCAAAGCAAAATAAAATAAATTAAAATTAAAGTTAAAACTAAAAAGCTAATTTCTTTTCATATTTTTTATTTTCAGATTCCAAGTATATTTTATACATCTCCTGTTGAAGTTTCAATGTTATTTTAACTACATTTAAATTTCAAGATTTATACAAATGTTATTTTAATATCTAAAAGATATTTTGATATTAAATGAAATTGGGATTTCATTGATTTTGTAGGGATATAAAAAACGCTTATCTCCCTTTGGTAGCGATAAGTCACGTGGGTCACATGACAGACCACTTAATGACATCACTCTATACAGTGATGAGAATGGCTGTTACCACATGAGGTTGCTTTTCTTTTCTAAATTTGCCTCTCCCAGCAGCTTATAAGTCCATGATGCCATTTCCATTTGGGAATATATCTTTCCCAGATATAGAATGAAACTCCAGTTTGCAATCATCAATTTGGAAAAACCCAAGACTCACTGTTTCCTGTTCATGGAATACATCCTCACTTGGGAAATAGATGAATCCAGCCCATTTGAACTTGGGCTCCTAAATATGGCTTCCCCAAAGAGGAGTATCTCCATATTACATGCAAGACCCTTCCTTTTTGTCTCTCCTTACACTCCTTGCTGCATAGATATGTGATATATTATTATCTGCATGAGGCACATGCATATATGGTTTTGTGCATATCTTAGTAATATAAAAATCCGATATGAAAGCAGATTACCTTCCTTTTTGCCATTCCATTCACTTCCATGAGCTACAGTGTTATTATATTACAGATATAATAATACCCATAACATTTAAAATTACAAATGAGAGAATAAATCATTCAACTATAGACCTCTCTCATTACAATTTTATATCTATCACATATACAAGTTCTTAGAAACTACCCTTCATAAATAAATCTAATTTAACTCATGAATTTTTCAAGTTCACAAACATAAAAGATATCTATATAAATGCAGAATATTTCGGTGAATAGTCTGTATTAGTTTTTAAACTTACGGCAATAAATTTCTCAAATTTGTAAAAAAAAAAAACAAAAAAAAAAAAAAATTCAGTATTTTAATCTACACTATCCAAATGAAAAACAGAAAATGTGTTATCTAAAAGAGCAGATGTTTTAATGTCATATCCAGGATTTAAAAAATATGTCAGCAAAAAGTATTGGCATGATTACTAGAAAATTAAAGTATTTAATACTTAATGATAGAAATTAACAACATCACTACTTACTTCTCAACAGGTGATGATGAACCTGAGCTGACACATTCTATTTCTGAAATGAAATTTTCAACATTTAAAGTACATTTGCAAATAGAAAATATTGTACATAATGCTAAAGAAAAAAAAGAAAATTAAATGCTTACCAGTATCATTTTGCACAAGTTCTTCCATATCAATATCTATTTGATCAATCATCATGTGCTTCAATAAGTCTTGCTGTAATGTATTATTCACCATACTTTGATGAAGTTTGGCATGTAGTTCCTTCAGCTCAGTTTCTTTATTTGCACAAGAAGTACCCTTTTAAAATTATTAAAAATAAAAGAAACCCTTTATAATTTTGTATATTCTCAATGCAACAGCTTATCAAAATTAATGTAGCAATAATAATTAAATGCTGTATGCATCCAATGAGCAGGTGCTGAAATTAGTGACATTACTAAGAGATTCTCTGCCAAAATTTTGATGTTTGGTCACATTTTGGGAAGTCGGGAGGCTAAAAACTTTTCAGAATCCCTTATAGTAATGTATAAAATTTTAAAACTATTTTTATAGTTACATTTTACAAAAGATAAAAATTAATAAACTTAAGATTACCTTCAAAAAGTAGTTTGTATTTAACTGAATGTATACAATATTACAAATTGAATTAAAAACTATTCAGAATGGTATTTATCAGATTTTAAGACCATCAAAACTTTTAAAACATTTTGAAGCATACTTCCTAAGTCAATAGTTAAGAGAGAATTTTAATTTTTTTTAAATAAATTAAAAATAAAATATCAGATTAAAATTTCAACTGAAAATAATATTCTTTAAAATGTTTATCTAATTACAAATTTGCAAGCAATTAAATTCAGTATTAATGTGCAGCTATGCAAGAAACTTTACCTTAGATAAAACCATTTCTATCAAATGACTGAAAAGGTACCGGCATTCCATCATATTACATCTACTAAATATACTCTGCAGTTTTTCCACATCATCATTATTCTGAAATGAAATAATTTTTAAATTAAAAAAAAAAAAATTTCAAGCAAGCAGGAACATTATAAATTCATTTTTTTTTTTTTTTTAAATAATAGACACATGCTTACTTTATTTTCTTCAAGCTGCATAATTTGTTCTTGAATTTCACTTATATTCTCTTGACAGACTTGCAATTGTCCCTCCAAACTGTCAATTACATCTAGGCACTCATTAACAGCTTCTTCAGGCTAAAATAAGAAAACAGAGGGAGTCACAAAACTTGTCCATATTCAAATAAAGTGCATAAAAAAAAAAAAAATAAAAGCTATGTTGCTGTTTTCTTTGTTTGCTGGTTAATTTTGTCATGCTAAAGCAAGTGTAAAGTGAACCCTGTCAAAAATTAACCTCTAACCAGGAGGTAAACAGGCATATGATATATGCAAGCAGACTCTTGCTGAAATATTTGGGTAAAAATTTTAAGACTTTTAGTTTCATTTTTTAACAATTTTTTCAGTGATTTATGTATCTATATTTATTCTTTTTCCCTGTCCACCAAATATTTACGAGTTAAATACAAAGAACCAACGTAAATTTAACATTGAGTTTTGAATTTTTATTATATTTTAACAAGGCAGTTGAGAATTTAAAGTTTAAAAACCTATCATCAAATTTTTTGTATTTAAGTTACTAAAAAAAAACATTTAATAGCTTTTTTTTTTAAACAATATTGGCATGTTTTTGAAAACCCAGCACTGATGATTTTTTTCCACTAGAAGTAAAATTTTCATTTTTATTGCAGATAAAAAAAAAAAAAAGGGTCAAATCAAGAAAGTATAACAAACCATTTCCCATATTATAAATTAGGTATTTCACTCTCAGCTTCACTTATCTGTCTAGTTCAGTAGGTGATACTGCTATGTCACACTAACAGCTCAGCTCTTCCTTCTTACTACCCGCTATAACATGTAGTTGGCAATACAAACAAGTGGCATTGGGAACACACAATGAACAAGTTCTGCACCAAAGGCAAACCAGAACTGCTTCTCCAAACCCCCAGCATGACTTAACTTAAACCAGCACCCGAAAATAATGTCCAGTTTGTTGTCACTGCATAGAATACTAGACTTTGGTGTTCCAAACCAATCTTCAGGTGTACTGTGCAAGTCCTTATATAAGAAAGTTTGTATGTTCTACAATATTTCCATATAAAGCAATGTTGAAAGTGTGTCAATATAAACACATTTACTTTTTTTTCCAGAAATTAATAGCTAATTATGGTAATTTTTTTTTTTTTTTTTTTTTATCAACAACTGAATGCATTGTTATTTAATCTGCACATATCCAATTTTTAAACAAAATTAAAGATATAAAGTTATTTGATATTTTTGCAAGGGGTGTGTGTATATATATATATATATATATATATATATATATACACACCCCTCTCAAACCAAATATCTAAATTTGGCACAAGAGAAAACACTTCAGAATATACAGTGCATTGATAGTTTCTCTTTTTTGCAATGGAGCTTTTCTTTTATGTGATAATGTTGCTTTCAATTTACTAATCATTCAAATTAAAAAAAAATAAAGTAAAATTTAAAAAATCCCTTTATCCTACAAATAAAATCATTTTACAATTTTAAACACTTTTTTTTAACAAAGTTATTTTTTGTTCATAAAAATAATTCATAGTATGTAAATTCTTTAACTACTCACCTGTCCAGTCTCTATTAAATTCTGCTTTTTGTTGGTATACTTTTCAAGACTTTGTCCAAGCTTTTTCCGTTCCTGATAAAGAAAAAAAAAATTACTATCACTTCTTTGTAATTGGATTTTTGGAAGCAACAATGCAAAAAAAAGTGGAAGATTCCTTACTTTCAACCACGTTTCCATATCCTTTTCTATCAAATTTAAGGTTTGTCTTTTCTTAACAATATCCTCCACCTGTGAAAAGAAAAAAAATAATTCAAGTTATACATACTTCATAGTACCTCATAATTAGTGAATGAAACAAAGAACCTATAGTGAATATTTCATTTACACAATACACTTGTCTATTAACATGATGCTCAAAAATGGCTTCCTATTATGAGCACTTGTAAAAGAATTAACACAAAAGTTTATAGATTACACTAAATAAAACAAAATATGATTAACAAATATTATAGTCATCCAGTCATGGTAAAACATCAAAAATAAGTTTGCTTACAGATTGGTAACATTTTACTTACTCGTTTCTGGATGATATCCCATTTTCGTTTTGCAAGTTTATCTGATATTGTTGTCATCCTATTCCGGCGTTCATACATGGAACCTGGAATGTTACCTATAAGAAAAAAAAAAAAAAAACTTCAGATTCTATAAAAACTGATTTGAAAATTCAAATTATAGTGATAACCATAATTTATTTAATGCTTAGTATTAAAAACTAGTATATAATTTTTTGGAAACTGCACAAGCTATTTCTTACCAACTGGAATGGTAGGAGTAACATCATATTTGCCAACTCTGCCTGCAGCTCGACTTGACATTGGTTTCTGTCTCTTCCTTAGAGCTTCCACCTGACAAAATAAATGTCAAGTCACTAAATGAAAAGGAAGAAAATGAGGAAAGAAAAGTTTGCCAAAATGTTTTAGAATAGGTAAAAAGTTCCAGAGTACCATGAGTGTCTTAAAAAAATGGAAAAGTACATCAATAATACAAATTGCAAGATTCAGTTCAAGGAAAAGTGATTACAACAAAAGCACAAACATATCTTGGATATAAAAGGTATTGACTGACTAACCATTTAAATATAAAGTTTAAATTATTCAAATTGTAATAAACCCTTGAAAGAGTCAGTTTTTGAAAAGTTAAGGAAAATAAAATGACAAAAAAAAAAAAAAAAAATAAAACAGCTAGGATAATGAATGCTAGTTTAAAATCAAACAGATTTTAGTTACTGACCTCCTCTTGTTTCCGTTTTAAGACAACTTCTTTTTGATGTTTTTCTGTTTCTAAAGTTTTAATTTTTTGTTCATACTTTAATCGTTCTCGTCTAAGTTGAGTTATTTCTTTATGCCGCCTCGACTCATTTGCTTTATTTTTTTCAGCTTCTTCCTTTATTTGCTTCATGAGCTTCACCTAGAGAAAAAAATGATTAGTAATTATAGTTCTAAAAATCATGAAATATAGACTAGAGTATAGTCAAAAAGCATGATGGGTTGCCAATTATTGTATCATATGGAGTTTAATACATTTAGTTTCAAAGTGCATCAGACCATTTTAACTAAATGGAAGTTAAAAAAAAAGAAAAAAAGTTGATGAATATGAACAGGTTTAGATAAATAAAATTTCAAAGTTACATCACCAGAAATAAAAGATATTACAATAATGAAAAGTTTGTTATCAAATAGCATGCTAGAGTGATACTAGTACAAATAATTGCTGCAAGTAAGAAAGCACACACACACATATATATATATATATATATATATATATATATATATAAATAAATATATATATATATGTGGAACTTCTCACTATCAGTGCAGAACGAGCTATACCAATGTTTCATAGATTACATGACTAAGTCAATAAAATACAAAGACTTCTTCAAAGGTTAGGTAATTTGGGTCTACATAGAAAGATCCAGATAATTTACAACCTGTACTGGGAACAAATAACTAACCTTCAGGTAGAGAACAAGTTCAGTGAATACATAAAAATAGAAAGAGTACCACAAATGTTATCTCACCAGATCTATTTAATCTATTTAAACAGAGTGATGATAAATGAACTACCATAATTTCTTATCAACAGACAACATTGTTTCCATGTCAAATTCAGGAGGAAAGAACTATTAGACAGGATAGTCAGCAAAAAGAATTAACCATTAAGTATAAAAAATCAGAATGCATGGTCACCAGCCAAAGAGAAATACAGAAGAATCAAAATCAAATAAAGAAATTAAATCATCTGAGTAGTAAAAATAAACAAAGTGATACAGAAATCTGATGATGCATAGGAATAACAAAAGAAAACATGCTGAACTGCTTATTTAATGTCTGTCCTCTAATACGGCAGTGAATGCTCAACAATTTCCTCACAGATGAAGAGTAAACAACAGATATGGTTCTACTAACAAATGTACAGAATACCATGGACTGATTTTTAGGAAATTTTCATAGGCATTACAAAAGAAACTTATCAGAAAGAGACAGAAGTTTGTGGAACACAAAGTGAAGGCAGCTTGAAGTTAACACTCAGAGTACATAAACAAGAGAAAGCTGCAATAAGCTTTCTTCTAAAGTCTTCACATTCTCTTTCACGCCAAGTAACCCCTTGTGTCTTACAAGGATGTGCTGAAAAGTTCATAGGCTGAGTATGAAAGAGTGATGCTAGAGTTGCGGAATCTTGCATGCATTAATTTCAACTTTTCTTAAAACTACATTGTTTTTTACCAGGTAAACTGATATCTGACTGACCAAAGACTTTATCATGTTGGTCAAAAAAGTCATAACAGGTATGATATCATCAAGCAAGTTGGCATAGTTCTCTCTATTGATAGTGTGGCCTTTTTGAAGATTGTTAATAAACAATGCCTTTTGCATCCCAAAAAACTGAGGCCATCACCTTCCCTGCAGATGAAATGTCTTGGCCTTCTATGGAGTAGGTAAGGAAGGGTGTTTCCATACAATGGATGGTCTATCTCTGGCTCAAAAGGATGAACCCATCACTCATCTTGCGTTAGGAAATCCTCAAGGAAACCAGCTGGATCTGCCTCAAACAATGTCAGATTTTTTCTGTGATGTGATCAGCCTACATGCTTTTGATCAGGTATCAGAAGATGTGGAACCTATCAAGCAGAAACTTGTCATGCCAAGTCCATTGGGCAGAAATATTCTCAACTCCCTCACTGGATATGCTAATAGCATTGGTTATTTGATTTATAGTCAATCACCTGCCATCATTCACCATGTGGTGAATAATGTTTTCCTCAGTGGTGGCAGTCACAGGACATCCAGACCTAGTCATCTTCAAGGTCTCCCTCCACCTCCTAAATTCAGCTGCCCAATTTTGCACTGTTGATGAAACTATGGCATAAACTCATAATGTAGCAACCATATCAGTATGAATGTCCATGAGGGCTAAACTCTTTTTCTGCAGGTATTTTATAACACCATGATGCCAAATCTTGTCCATTTTCAAAAGAAGTCAATACTTGTTACTTGTGAAGTCTTTGAACAGTCATGTCAGTTTACCTCAAAAGGAAACATTGCACTTATTAAGAAGAGTTGAAATTAATGCTTACAAGATTTCACAGCTCTAGCATTGCTCTTTCATAGTCAGCATATGAACTTTTAAGCCCAACCTCATAGTAGCTGTATTGCCTTGCATGCAGTGAATTGATTAAAATAAAAAAAATCTACAAGTTTGAGCAATTTGGTTTAAAGCAACAAAAGACAGCAAGCTGTAGAGAGCCATGATCACCTACATCATGGTGGAACATAGTCTAAGAGAATCAGGATCCTCGGTTAATACATGAACAAAAGGCAAGAAATATTTTTATTGGTCTTAGATTTAAGATATATTTAAATCAACTAAATAAGTGACAAACAACAACTTTGAAGACAAAGAGAAATACATCTAATAAAGTAATATACAAATAATAACCCAGGAGTATATTCACACACAAATTGTTGTATACAATGATTCTGTAACATTTGCTTGCTATATATATATTTTCATGTAGTTAAAAGTTACCTTTGTTCGTTTCATTTCTTGCAGATCTTGTTGATAAGTCCTCAATTGTCTTTCATAGACAACTTGATTTCTAAGCAATTTTGCATGGTCCTTCTTAGCTTCTTGGAATTTTTTTAATTCACTCTGAAGTTCATTCAATTTACGCTGATATTTTTCCCTGATATTTTTGGCTTTATCTTTCTTGTCTTCTTCCAGTTTTGCTACAAAATTAGAGAATTTCATAAAATAACAAAAGGCTGTCAACTGAAAGATAAGACTTTACAAGTCAATTCCCACTACAAAAAGGTTTCAAAAACATAAAATGTATTAAAAATAGATTAACATTCTAGGTGAAGGGGTTCTTTGAAAAAAACTTTAGTTTCATAATTCTTCATTAAAGAGACAACTTATTTGAAATATTATAGAGTGCAGCATTGTTTTTATGGCACAATACATATACAAATAAATAAAAATAAAGTCTTGCTAAACTTTGAATCTGTAAAATTAATGTTGGCAGCCATCAGTCTCAAGGAACCATGCAGTCTAAGATGGCTAGCTAATCCCTGTTGGGGACTCCTGTCATGCACATTTGCATTTCTTTAACTCCCAGAGCAAACCTGTAGTTTATATTGCAACTATGCCAAGTGAACAGAGTTATAGTTTCTGGAAAAGAGCACAGTCTTATTAAACTATTGATCATGATAGATTGAGTAATGACTCACAATTTTGAGCTAGAACAACCATCAACAAAAGTTCAATCTACCTAATTTTACTCACTCAAAAAGTATATCTTCCCAGTGATGCCATATATGGGGATTGTCTCTCCCCCAGGCTAATATCCAGAAGTTATTGCCTTAAATCAACTATGGTGAGATTTGATCCAGTTCTCACTAATGTTTTAATCATTTGGCGACATGCACACTTATTTTTTTTTTTTTTTAGTAAAAAATATTTTTATGCTAGCTTAAAGATACAACTATTATATCTGAATTCAGAAGTTGTCAAATTAGCATATTTTTCTATTGATTCTAACATTTAATATCGAGAAAATGAATTTAGTATATAATTTTATAGATAAAAACTCAAATGTAAAAGATTTGCGCACTTAACAGAGAAAGTACAAGTGGATTTCTTGTGTTAGTCATTTTGCCATATATATATATATATATATATATATATATATATATATATATATATATATATAGAGAGAATGTATCAGAGTTCTGAGCCACATCTAAAAGTTTCATTTAAAAAATTTTAAAAAATAATTAAAAAAAGTAGGGGTAGAAAAATTGTGATGGTAGTAAAAATTGGATACTTCACAACAATAAAGATTGCAGGTGACCAAAAAGTTGATTTTCAGCCAAATAAAGTGATACTGTATATATGGTAAGCTTGGAGTAAAGTGCTCAAATATTAGCTCATTCTGGAAGAGAAGGCAATGATTGGTTCTAAATTTTACTAATTAGGCTAAATGAAATCAGCAATCTATGAAATGTGTCTGGTATCAGAAAGAGTATAGTATTCCATTAGAAGAAACCCCCACTTATTTTAGGTGAGCAGGTAAAAATTATACCTTGGTGGAGAAACATTCACTCATCTCCCAGATATTGTACTTTCAGATTATTTCTTTGGGGCTTTACAGGATTCTCAAAAACAGGTTTTAATTCAGAAAGATAAAAGTTCTAGGAATATTAGATTATCTAGCTGACTAAAAGATGGCAGAAGATAAAGCGAAATAGTAAATATGTCAAAAAAAAAAAAAAAAAAAAAAAAAAAAAAAAAAACTTTAAAACCAATCTAACATTTTGGTTACCAAATACAAGTTATTTTTTTTCCTTAAGAAAAAAAAAAATTGTAGAACTACTTTGTTATAAAAAATATATTTTAATGAACTACAATGTAGACATACAAAGAAAAGTCTCATTCACTCATAAGTCATTGAAGAAGTTCATATTGATTCATAAACTTCACTCATCTCAAACAATTATTTAAAAATTAAAGTGTTAAAATGCAAATCTAATATGGAATATAAACAATTAACCTAGCTTATTACTTTAATTCCTTAATCTTAGAAAACAGATTGCACCAAATATAACAAACTGATCTTTAAAGTTTAAGTATAGGCATTAAAAAAGTTAAAGTTTACAATTAAATCTACAATTCCCATTATTTTAGGAAATTGTTATTAAACGGAGTTCCAACTTATTTAAATCCAGAACAAAATAAATTATCAAAATATGAAAGCATATTGTAAATATTGTACCAGTAGGGAGATAAGATTTACAAATAGGATTAGGCACATAAGCTGAATGAGAAATACAAATGCATTCATTCTTCATAAATGACAGTGATATTTGTGATAAATATTGTTTTAGTAAGTGACTTACTGAGAAAGACAATGTTAATATAGTACAAAAATAAATTTACAATACTATTATTGTGCAGTTTAGCTGAAATTGTAATTAATGTCTTCCATATAGGATTAGGAGAATAGCTTGAATTTTTTTTTTTTTCATTCAAATATTCTGACTTCAAAAGTTGTTTTTACTGAACTATTTAAAAGAAAAAAAAAAGTTTATATTGATTGCATCTATTTGACAGAAATACTCAGAGAATCAAAATTGATATACTCAGAGAATCAAAATTGAAATACTCAGAGAATCAAAATTGAAATACATTTTTAAATATTAAAAAGAAAATTTTTCTCTTTCAAAAGTCAAAACTAAATTAACTTACCAATATTAGACAACACATTGTCCCTTTCAAGTTCTGTATCCCGTATCTTCTGAGTAAGCTGAATGACTTTCTGTTCATAATGATTTTTCATTGCATTCAACTTGTTCTGGTTCTTTTCCAAAGCCTCTATCAATCGAGTTTTCAGTGTCATTTCACATGTTAATTCTGCTAAATCCTCATGAATATTATCAGAACCCAAACCTTTTAATGAAAGCAAAATAATTCTTCAGAACAAGTTATATAAAACAAGACATTTTCTGAAATAAAATAGCATATCAATGTTGAATATTTGTGTACATTGAAAATTCTGTAAAATCTCCAGAAATACAATAGAATCTGGTAACTAAAATCAATTTAAGACCATATTAATGAACTGAAGTTTCCAAACCAAAACTCACTTTACAAGGAAGTAATTAAAAGGCACTATTAAAAATACAAAGTAATGAAATAATTTAAAGTTAAGTAGGCCTTGAAAATTTCAATTTAAAATTATTTATCTACTTTAAAAGTACAGTTTATTTTAAGTTACCATTCAGAATAGATAACAGTTAGAATAACTAAAAACTCCATGTGCTAATATCTCTGTTCAAAGCTGAAATGACTCATCTTATGAAAAAGAAGCATTTACAATTTCTAAAAATAGCACCTGAAATAATTGATAACCGAAAACAATTAAGCTCAACAAAAATATCAAGCAAAGTGTTCAATAAAATTTGTGAAGCTATGTATTGTTGGAAATTGGAGGGATCATGCAGGAATTAAGTCAGTGTATTATAGTAAGGGATTAAGTGGCAAAGGAAGAGACTAGGTATACCTGAGAAATTGCAACTGAAAATTTAGGGAAAAATGTTTTGTTTTATTACTTTTTTTGTGTTGAAGTTTACCAACACATTTTAACATTCTAATAAAATGCAAGTATTTTGCCTAGTATAAAGTTAATACAAAGTAACACGACATTAATTCTTACATAATATAAAACAATTTTCAGATTTAAAAGCTAAACTAGGCATTTACAATGAAGATTCAAATTCTTATAGCAAGATAAATACTGAAATTGAGTCCTTTGTTGTAAGTTTTACAAAGTTAAATCGGCCACTTCTTGAAATGTTGCAATTTATCATTCTCATTAATTTTTAATGAGAAGATTAAACAGTAAATAATTCATACCTCAATATTTATAAAAATTACTAAAGTGCTTTAAATATTACATATTTGAAAAGACTAGTTGAAATTATCTTAACATTTTTCTCTCTAACAGAAAAATGAACTAAATAGCTGCATGAATTTAACAGGATTAAATCTAAATATTAAAAAGTAATTAACTTGTCTTGATAGTACTTAAACATACCATAAACAATTATCTTTAGGTATACAATTTCCTTGTACCTTTAAATTTATTAAACACTTGCTGCAAACATCTGTCAGCATAGTATTGAGTAAAAAGTAAACTAAAAACTTTCATAATAGACATTGCTAGTAATGTTATTTTAAGTGATAATATACTAAAATTCATTTTTAATTCTAACAAAAAAAAAAAAAAAAAAAAAAATCCTGTTTAGAAGTCAATTAACTGTTCCATTGATCTAGGAGGAAAGCTTGTTAGAAAAGTATTAAAAATAAATAATTTACACTGTGTAACTCAAATTTTCAATGAAATAATTGATATTCAGAGCAAAGATATCAAATAATAGCAACTGAAGACATTGGCAAGTAAATTGGCAGCCAAGTACAGACTGACAAATTAGTTTCACTGTAATAGCAACATAAAATACCTTATCACAAGGGCACAAAAAGAATTAAAACTTATATTAAAATTCAGCCATGCTGTGGAAGGGAAGGGCTCAACAGGGAAGGAAAAGACTGCCCTAGTTCCAGGTAATCTGTCCCAAAAATAAAATTTAAAAGATAAGTTGGGTGTCACATGAAGCATTGCATCAAAAAGCAAATTTGAGAAATGGATGTAGAATGTTTACACAGAAAGAAGGAGTGATGTAATCTAAAATAAAAGAAATGGTTGATAAAATAGTGAAGAAAACAGCATTAAGAGGAAAAACAGCTTGACATAGAAAAAAGGAAAAGAAAAAAAAATAAGACACTTATAAAAAAGTTATTCTACTTGGAAATAGAAAAGTATCTTAAAAACAAAAGGAGGAAGAGGGTTATTGTGTTCAAATATTGTGAAATATAAAAGATATTAAGACTTGTTAGGGACAGATTACTAGGAAGCAGAGGCTATTACCTGAAAAGCTCCACAGGTCATACAAGGAGGCTGTCAGAGCTGGAGAGGAGAGCGGAGAAAAAAATGTCGAGAGGAAAATTAGTGGAGTTTAAGATATTAACAAAATTAATGTAAAATGCGAAAGAAAGCCTTGAAAGAGTGGGTAAAAAGCATTTGGAAACATTTATAACCATAGAAATGTGAGAAATCAAACACTGGCAAAAACAAAATTCATCTGAAATACAAATCTTCAGTTTGTCAAATTAATCAAGCAAGACAAATTACTCAGTTATATACCCCATTAATAAATCTAGCATTTAGGTTTTCCAATGAAAGCAGAAGGATTTGCTGAAAAAAACTCCAATATTTTAAGAACACAAGCTGAATCATTAAGAAAGGTTAAAAAAAAAAATAAATAAATAAAATAAATGTACTAAAGTAAAAATACATTTTGAATAAACTTCAAATAAAAAAAAAGTTAAAAATTTTAAAAATCCTTTTTAAATTTAACTCGAGTGTTTTAATTAAACTAAATATGTAGGTTAATATAGATTTGAAATCCAAAATATTTTTAAGAGTATATGAAATCCCTGATAATTTAATTTTTTCAGATATAAAATAATTTGTTTTCAACAATAAAATTACAATTTTGTTTTGTTGAATTATTAAGAATTGTCAAATGAATAAGTGAGAGAAAAAGATTTATTAAATGTAAGTATATAATCTATGCAAAGACAAGAAATATTTAAAACTACTATCCTCGAGATAACAAGCTTAAAACAATATTCAAATCTACACATTAGCAACAAGTAAAACATCGATAGGATAAAAATCTCAGATTGAAACTAATTTTCAAAACAAGTTACAGATATGAAAAATAAGGAAATAAAAGAAGGTTTTTGCAAGAATTACAAGTTTTAATTTTTGTCATACACTGTTGAAACAAGCTTTAAATTTGTCCAGCTCCACACACCTACTTCTAAGATCACCCAAAAATACCAGGGTCAAAAGACATTTTTTCTGATGAACCAGAAAAATTCCACATGGTTTTCACAGCAAGTTTCTGAGCCACCGATTCACTATAAAGTCAATGCTGATTTCACCCACAAAGGCAGATCTAACCAAGCTGGCATTAGCAACACATCCCACAGCAGGTGAGCTTAGCCAACAACAAAACAAGCAGCAGAGACTAACTCTACTATTACAATGTGATAGTTGTAATTATTCTAAGTTCGTGAACAAGACATTCTTTGCATGAAACTGGTTACAACCAAAAAAAACTTTACCATTAATATTACTTGTAGAAGTTGAAACCATAGAAAAGTTAAGTCAATGGATGAAAGTTATATAATGTCAAGAACATTAACATGTAAAATAATAAAAATTTATTCATGTACACAAGACATTATGCAAATCAAATATGTTTCTATGACATATGGATTTATAAATGATTGTTACACTTTGTTTGCATAATAAAACTTGACACTCCCAAACAAACTCAATATTTTTTTTAGTAAGGATAACCATTTAAAAAAAAAAAAAAAAAAAAAAAACTTACATGTACTGATTATATAAATATCTGCAAATTGTTACAAACTTCAGTAAATACTGATTTTATTATGAGAACATTAAATTGCATTACTTTGACTGTTAGCCTCATCTTCATTGTCATTTTCACAATGTTTCAGCCACTGTATGCTCCTGCCTTCTTCAGGTGATTAGAATTTCTAACCGAACACTATTTCCTCTATCAGGATAGATTGGAGAAGGCCGGAGCATACAACAGCCAAAATGTTGTGATAAGGATAACAGTCTGAATAACAAATAATGTAAGTAATCATAATACCTCATCTCAGAGATATAGACCTATTAAATTGCATGATAAGATCTGACAGTGTATCAGTCATTTGGAGGACAAGCTTCAATTACAACAAGAGAGCCTAAGATACAGAATACCAAGACAAAACCTTTAGGAAATCATCTGAAATGCAAATCAAAGAATAACAGTAAAATGACAAATACAAAAACCATGATTTTTCTTCCAATATTACAAGATATAAAAATCTAAACATTATTTGTGAGTTATATTAAACTCAGATTTGAAACGAATAAGAAAATATTGCACATTAAAATACATAACAAAAATGGTTTTATTATCCAATTTATTAGTTCTATTACAATAAGACATTCATATTTAAAAAAAAAAATTTTTTTACATGCCAAATGACTGAAAAGAAATAACTCACCCATCATAATATAAAAGAGATATCTACACCTTTTTCAAAAGAAATATTCCAATTGAGATCACAAGAATCTAGTAATTTAATATAACCAAACTTGAGTAAGCAATTAATCTCATCATTTGAACAAACCAAATTTGTTTAATGCATCACAAAAATCATGTAATTGTTAAGTTAAAACATTTTTGAAAATAATTAAAATACACAACAAATACTATCACAACGTAACAAATTATTTTAATGATAATTATGTTGATACTACAGTAAAATGAGTTCTCCCTCAAAAGCATCTAATCAGTTGATGGGTGAACTACAGACAGAAATTACACAAGCACAGACACAGGAAAACAATGGTAAAATTGAAATGACTTACCTAAATCACATGAACTAAGGTCTAGAAAATAAAAAATAGATCTTCAAGAAATCTATTAAAAGAAATCTAATATTAAAACAAAATTTACTCAAATTTACTAGTGCCCAAGATACTTTTTTTTTTTTCTCTTTCAGATCATTATTTTTTACATTCTACAACTATTAAGAAAGCAAAATGAGTGGGGAAATATCCACCAATAATATTTGAACTCATTTTGTACCTTTAAGAGACTGCCTAACAGCAGATGCCTTGCCAAATTTGGCCATAAAAATAAATCAGCAAGGAAAGAAGCAAAGTTAAAATATATAAGAAAAATACATACACAAACTATTTAAAAAACTGGATAACACTTATTTTCTTTTAAGGAGTGGAAGAAGAAAAAAAATTAAATTAGTGGAAAATTTGAAGACAGTGTAAAATGTTAGAGCATGTTAAAATTCCAATTTTAAAGTAGTCAAAATTTAAATTTCAAATAAAACTATAGTTCTATTTGAAAATAGAATTTTCAAACTTGAAAACTCATGCAAGCATGAATAAAAAAAATAAATGCAAAAAGAAAAAAATGTGACAAGAAACATCAATCAAGTGCTCACCTTCCTCTTCGTCTGTATCTGTATTTGAACCCATTAATTCAAGCTCATCAAGGTCCTCATCAAGATCAACCATTTCCTAAAAAGAAAAATATCAAAATATTTAAAAATTAGTTTTGTCAACTTTATAAAAAAAAAATAAAATATATCTTTAAAGGAAACCTTTTACAAACAATAAATCCAGTGAGAATTTCAGCTGCTTATTCAGACTTTTCAGAACATTAATGATTCTGAAATTGATATTAAAGTGTTTTTTGTGAGTGTTAAATTTGCATTATCACATAAAATATTTAGAGAAATAAAATGTGTTCCCCTCCCCACACTAATCAAACTTATATAGATTACTACATTTACGTTATTCGGACTATTGGCCTCATCTTTGTTGCCATATTTATCACGTTTTGGCCATTGTACACTCCGGCCTTCTTCAGGTGATTGGAATGTTGAACTGAACCCTTTATTTTGCTCGCTGGGGTAGACTGTTCTAGTTCCATGTGCCATGTCTAATGGATGTCAGTTATATCCTGTTAATTCCCCTCTCAAAGTTCTCCACCACCTTAAACAGGTATTGAACTTGCACTCTTTGGGTCCTGTCACAACAACCCGATTCAGTAACCTACCTTAAGCGGCCCTTGCAGAGAGTGGGTGTGTGTATATATAACTTATTGGTAGCACAATTTTTTTTTTTTTTTTTTTTTTTTTAACAGACAACATAGATAACACTTAATTTGTTGAAAAGTCCTACAACTGTTAGGGGGGGGGAGTGCTTACCTCTCCAGCTGTATATTCTTCATCTGATGGAGCATCTCCTTCACTAATAATCTCCAGCTGCTGTATTAAATCATCAGTATCTTCATGGTGCCTAGCATCTCCATTTTCACAAATGTTCTCTTTGTTACTCCTATATTTAAAAATTAGCACAAATCTCAGAGCACAAGTCAAAAGTATTCTATAAATTACATTTCAGGTATTAGTTAAAGAATTCCCAGTTAGGTAGTTATTTAGATAAAATTAAATAATTTAAAGAATCACATGTGAAAAGTTCAAATTATAGAATTCAAAACCATTAGTAAAAATGTAAAGTTAAAGAGAATTTAGCAAAGTTGCAATCAAAATTTGATATTTATGGCAAAAACAGTAAAATAAAAAAAATGGCTAGACTTACTCTTGGCCATCTCCTCCTGTTCGAAATTTGATTTTCTTTTTCAATACTTTCAAGTCTTTATTAGCTTCTTTCAGCAGTTCATAATTGTCAATTTCTGGCATATCTGGCACAGAAGTAAATGATGAGGACATTGGGACATGTGACATCGGGCTTAAGGCAAGTCGTGACTGTGCACGAACTGCAGTTTGTTGAGCCACTTTGTATAAAGAGTCTGCTTCTGTCAATTTGGCACTAGAATAAAACAAGTTAGCAAATGAAGATGTAAATTGACTAAAATCTGAAAATGTTATAAATTATGAAGACAAAAATAAAGTTGATGTAAATTCAAGTCCCTTAACAAGTGGTTACAATTATTTACATTAATTTCCTCATTTGTTTCAAATTGACAGACACCTGAAGAAAGCCAGACAGTACAATAGTGTGATAGAAAATAACAAAATTCAGACAGAACAATAATTTGTACTTAAGCAAGCAAGTAACTTAAAATTGCTGTATTTTGTAAAATACAGCATTTTACAACATATCAAATTCTAAATTTTAAAAATCCAAAAGTCTTATAATTTAATGCCAAACCATTTTTGTTAGTAATTTCAATTTTGCAAATTTTACTTTTAAGTAGAGAGGAAAAAAAAATATATCAATTGGACAATAAATTAAAAAAAAAAAACATCAACAAAAAGTACATTTGCGTTACATAGATTTACTGATTTAATAAAACAAATTTAAGACATGTAAATAAAATTCATACATTATTATTAGATAAACAAATTCAAAAACATAAAAGCTAAATTTTGCTTATTAAAGAAAGAGCAGATTTCAAATTCATAGTAAAAAGATTATCACAGAGACAGAAACTCACAATAGAAACAAAACCAAAAGAGATAGAAAGAATTCTTCATAATAGGAGAAAATGCATTTATAACAAAGCAGCATGTAGCAATGTGCTGATGAATATCATAATGCAACTCACTCTGAGATATATATAAAATTTCAGGACAGCTGAAGTGCAAAAACTGTTTTATGATCCATTAAAATAGAGTTAATTTTAAACATTTTTACAAATGAGAAGTATAAACAAATATTATTAATGGACTAATTTCTTTAGAAAGTATTAAAAAAAAAAAAAAAAAAAAAAAAAAAAAAAAAAATGACCAGCTTACTTAAAAGTAATTCTCACAAAGATTTACCTACCGAAGTACTTCTGCATCTTTGATATAGCCTTGTATCATTGAGGTGATGTGTTCATTATTGAAAGTGTCTGAAAACAAAGGTTTCAATTTATTTGAACTTCAAATTTATGCAATTTGCTTTTAATAAAATGAAGGAATAAAAAAAAAAAAAAATTAAAAAATGGATCACATTAAATAACTTACACAAAAACATTACCATCAATATCTTTTGTAGTTATCACTAAACAGTGTCACTATAATATTGCTATTTTACAACAAAGAATTAAGAAAAATCATTTGCTATATGAAATGAGTTATGTAATTTCAGTTAATAATTCTCCAAGAAAAAAAAAAAAAAAAAAAAATTTTGATGCATAAGGATAGAATGTGTATATATATATATATATATATATATATAAAGTTTCTCAAAAGCATCAAGTTAATGTAGCTAATTTTCATTTGCATACAAAATGGAATTAATTAAAAAGGTTTTAAAAGTTGTAAGAATATTTACATTCTAATTTTGCCATTAAAGATTAGTTTATTCAAAAAATAAAGCAAAAAGAATTTATTACCACCGGTGTAATTCTGTTTACAAACAGCATTTTCAGTAATCAACTGTGTATTACGTTCTGTCAAACATTCCACAGTTTGACTCATAGCTTTGATTCGCTGCCTAAGTTTTTCATTTTCACTTTGTAACATATTGTTTTCATGGTATAAATCGTTGATTCCTTCTACTCCATCAGCATCTACCACACGTTTACCCTGAATAGACAAAGAAATTCTAAAATATTCAAATTATTCAAAATTTGCATATTTTATGCAAAGTTTTCATTTTAGTTCATCTTGAACAGTAATTAAAGCAGGAATATTGTAGATGGAGGTTAATTTCTTGATTAAAAAAAAAAAAAAAAAAAAAAAAAAAAACACAAACACACAACCAACCTTCTTCATCCACAATTTTTAAAACAAGAATATTTCACTTAGTGTGAAACTTTATATCCTGTCATAATGAAGCAAATCCAAAACTTATAAATAAAGCCATAACAAATTCAAAAATATTTCTCCTAATAAATGTATTTTTTTTCTTTTTTTAACATATTTGCAAATTATACATAACCAATGTAAAAATTAAGCTAAGAAGAATATCCTAATTATAAAAGAGTAATCAAAAATTAAATAGAAACTGAAGAGAAAAAAAAAATAACATACCGTTTTATATTCTAACAATTCCTTCTGCAAGAGAGAATTTTCCATTCGTAGTTGTGCTAATAATTTACTAGCTTTGTCTTGATTAGCAATAACAACATTCTGAATGTTCTTTGCTCTATTTGCATATTTAAGGGTATTCAAAGTTTCCATAAAATCTCTGTCTGATGGAGAAACACAAGCTATCATCAGTGTTCGGCTGTAAAAGAAAAAATATTTCTTATGTATTGCATGCATCCATGGATAATAAAAAAAAAAAAAAAAAAAAGTCATATATATCAAATGACCTTGCCTCTTGAATAAATGGGATTCAACGCCATGAAAGCAAACAATTCTGATACAGAAAAAGGAATGCTTATTGATCCAGATTGTGTATTGGGAAAAACTTGAAAGTCTAGTTAAAAATCTGAAAATTGCATGACTTCCTGCCCACAGATTATTCAACAGGCAAAATTACTATATTTAAATGAGTTTTTTTCCAAAATTTAGTTATAATCAGATGCTATGAGAAAACATACTAAAATCAATGTTTAGTTTCAATTACCTGTTTCCACCTAAGGAATCCTGCAGCAGTCTTGTTAATTTTGAGTCTCGGTAAGGCACATGGCAACCACGTTTAGTTTTGTCTCCAAGAGCAGATATCACATTACCAAGAGCAAGCTAGTGTGTAACAAAAAAAAAAAAAAAAAAAAAAAAAAAAAATTAAAATAAACCTTAAAGCAGTTAAACTTCCAAAACAAAAATTCAAATATGAAAGTTTATGAACAGAGGAAAAAAAAAAAAAAAAAAAAAAAATTTAGTATGAAAACAGTATATTTTCAACATAAAAACTCACCAGACCACAGTTTATTGAAATTCCCTCTTTTGCTCGATCACCTGTGGCTCCTGTGCGTTTAAGTCGTTCTGATCCAGCCAAGTCCACAAAATGAAATTTAGCAGTAAGGGTTTCAAATGTTGTCTGAGTGGAATCTTCCTCTTTTCCATCTTCAGCTGGTATCTAGAGGGTAATATTGTTTTTTAGAGGAAAAAAATTCACATTATCTTTCAAGTTCAACATCTTTCAAACACAATAAAAGAACAGCATAAGACAAGGTACACCTTGCAATTTTTGCTAATATCTGATAAATGTAAGACTACAAATATGCAATACTTAATAATAGACTTTATAATAAAATTATAGACATGTAAAATTTAAAAGTAAAATAAATAAAAGCCAGAATAAAAAACTCAAATGTAAAGTTGAATATTCTGTACATCTGAAATTCACTTGCTTCATAATGAATAATCCTTTTAGTACCAATGTGCAGAAATTAGCACAAGCCTGTATCAGCTAAGAATAGAACGATGAGAATACTCCAGAGGCTACATGACATCACTGAAAAGCAGGTATTACAACAGTATGTGGTGGGCAAAATGAAGACCAGTTGGTATTTTCAAAAGTGGTGGGGGTTAATTAGCAATGTTTAGTGTGTAACAGGTAAACATTAATGTCCTTTTGCACTGAAAATATTAAAATTTATTCAAGACTTCAGTGTTTCATTAGTTATCTAGAGCATTTCATTCCACCAATGCCATTAAAAAGTTTCAGCAGATGGAAGAAAGAAGATCAAAAGAAAGATCAAAAGAATTATGCAGCATGAAGGCATTTTCCCCCCCACTTTATGAAAAGAGCATAAAGTCTCAATTATGAGAGATAAAGATATTAATCTTTGCATTTTCAGCAACCAATTTTGTTTTTCTCAAATGTTTCATTTCCATTTATAATTTCAACTACTTGACAAAATCTTAGGAGGAAAACAAAACAGTCTCCAATCATTGTTACAAAGAACAATACTTTAGACAGGTTTTGTTAACAATTGTTATTACTTCACGTGGAACTAGAACAGTCTACCCCGGTGAGCGAAATAAAGGGTTCAGTTCGACATTCCAACCACCTGAAGAAGGCCGGAGCGTACAACGGCCAAAACGCTGTGATAAATATGGCGACAAAGATGAGAACAATAGTCCGAATAATGTAAATAATGTACATAATACCTCATCTCAGAAATATAGACAGACTGTTATTACTTCTATTTATTAATATCTTTTAAATAGATTAAAGTTGTATGAATTACTTTTATTTCTGTACTACAAATGTATATAGGCTTATAAATTATGTAAAGCTTACATCAGCAACCACTCTGTCCTGTCGAATATGAAGAGTGAAAATAGCATGAGACCGGGAGGACTGCACATTCATCTTAGTACTTGCAGTTGCCCGAGATAATGCACCACCTTTCAGGAGCTGTATAGTCTGTAAAATGCAACATTATATATTCTATCAAATTATGTAAATCTAGTCTATTTCATAGTTATAAAAATATATTGGCAGAGTTACAATTTATTCTCAACTTTATATAAATATTAAAATTTTAAATTAACAGAATATAAGGAATAAGAAATTTCATAATCAGCATCAATTCAATATAAAATTATCCAATTAATCAGTTAAAAACTGTCAGTGACAGTTGTTTAAGAACAATATAAAAATACCAATAGTTATACCTTTTGGAGAATTTTTAAATATTTAAAAATATCAGGTGAAATTAAAACTGCATGACATTCAGATATGAAACAAGAATGAATGTCATTTCATTGTTATTTTAGCAAATACTTGAAGACAAAATGCAAAGAAAAGTAACATGACAAAAATATTAAAGTAGTTAAAATTAAAAAATTAAGCTTACCGCAGAAAAGGAATCAACAGGGCGTGTATTCACTCCAACAACATAAATGGCCCCAGATGCATCTTCATGAACCTTGATATGAGATTTCCTATTCTGAAAAATTAAAGTTATTAGTTAAAAAATATAAAATTTTACTACTATATTTAATATGTGAATTAATTTTAAATGTCACAAAATCAATTAAACATTCTTTACTTCATTATTAATGTTATTTAAACTAACTTCAAACCTACCTATAAATGCAAATGTAAGCAATTCAAAATAAATCTTAACATTGAAGCATGTGAATAACAGCACAGTAGTTTGCCCCAGTGATCTCCCATTAATCATTTTTTTTAATTATGACCTTGATACCAATACTATCATTCATAGTTTTGTCTAAAAAGCTTCGAACTCAGTAACAAAATTATAAAATGCGGTTTTCTTTAAAAAGATTTAAAGAGATTTTTGTTAGGTGAAGCCAACTTCTAATACAAAATAACTGTAATAATAATTAAGGAGTTATTTGTTAATAGCTTACAAAAGTATACAAGCTATTATTAACTACATGTATATAATTTTGCAAAAATTAATACTTACTCTGGTTTCTGGGTCCTTAGAAGGATCAAGCAGATCTAGGATCTCTTCATTGTACAGCTTTACAAAAATAAAAAAAATTGAAAATCAGTTAAAATGTGTATGAAATAACTGGGGAAATAAGAAATGTGATATTCATGAGATACTACATTACAATATTCAATATTTTTAGTGTTTTTCATTGTACATGAAACAGTTCAAGTTGACAGTCACTAAGATATTTCAATAAATAACCAGTAACAGCTAGCTTACCACGTTCTTTTTCGAGCACAAGAAGCCTAGGTAAGGTGCATGGAAGACCTGTCTTGCCAAAGCAGCAAGTTCCCCCTCCCAGCCTCCCTACTGGTAGCCAAAGGAACAGAGAAGCAGTGAGTTTGGTTGCATGTTGCAAGAAAAATACTTTCTCAACACACTGAAATACTTGACAGAGTTCAAGTCATATTTTCTGTCAGAGTTTGATCCTCAAGTCTCTTCCTTTATAAGGATACCCACAAAATAGCAGGGTGGTACTATACTCTGCATACTATGCCATTTAAGGTCTTATTAAAAGAAGACCTGTCAAAAAAAAAAAAAAAAAAAAAAAAAAAAAAAAGAAACGAGATATATAAAAACCAAATGAAAACTACAGATTTAAATCTAAACACTGAACTATTATCAATTTGTCCAAATATTAAAATACTTTTATGCAGAATTTATGTGAGAAGAGGGTAATGCTAACAATTATTACTAAAATAATTAATATGCTAAATTTAGGTTCACATTCAATATAACAAGGAATTATTTGTAATGAAATTCAAGATTGATTACTGATTAAAACACCTATATTTTGTCTGTTTTTTTTATAATTTTCTTTCTCATTTTATATACATAAAAATAATGTTATGTATATAATGACCAAATAGTAAAAATTGGAAAATTAAAGTAACCTCCCATGAGAAAATAAAATGACTAATTCAAACTTGTTTATTCCTCTTGAAAAGTATATGTTAAAAGAAGGGGCAATTCTATTTTTTTGTCCTTAGCATCAATAAATTTCTTATCTTGCTTGCACCTATTATTTTTAAAAGGTTTTGGTTTTTTTTGTTTTGTTTTTTTTATTTCAAAATCAGATGGTTCAATGATTTAAACTATTCATTTTTCCAGAAATCCATATCATCAAATGCAATAGATCAGTTAACACAAGAGATGAATTACATCCTTTCCACACCACCTCCCAAACATATATTCATTATCCAATAATTCCAGCTTTTCACTGGCACTAGCTATCATTAAATTGATCAGTCATTACCTAGTAGCAAACAACCAACTTTCAGTGTTGTAAAAAGTTTTCCTTAAATACTTTAGATTACTTAAAGTTTCTAAACTAAATTGAATTGATTTTCTGTTGGTTTATAGTTCATTATGCAAAGAATATTTATTCAGTTTAAATCATTTTGTTAAGTCTGGATAGATGAGTTGTCAGTTACTGGGAGATTTTATTCCACCCATTATCTCTAAGAAACCATCCATTAGACAATTAACTAGTTATTCTAACTTCCTATTTTACCATTTTTTCTCAAATTAAACCTGTGAAAATAATCATTCTATCAAGTAGAAAAAAAAAAAAAAAAAAAAATTATGTGTCTTGCTTCAAATCCATAAACTATCAAAAGCTTTGTTATGTTACCTTACCAACTGTGAGAAAGTGAAGGGAGATTAGGCAAATAAAATTTTGTGTCATTTATCAGCAACCCCTGAAGTTCATTATGTGAAAATACTCCAGTGATTGATGGCTTAGAAATACCACTTTGTGATAGATTTATTAATCTTGACCAGTGTGTAACTTCAAAGTTAATGGCTATGATTTTGTTCAACATCTTAGCTGGTTTCCCCAGCTGGAAGAATTAACTTTCAGTTTCTATTTTAATTTAAAAATCTATCCCTACTCATTTTTGTTATTTTTCACATTAAGGGAATCTTAAGAAAAAGAAGAATCCTATAAACTCAACTAATTTAACCCATTTTTGCATGTTTATGTACATATGGACAAGATGTCTTTGAAAGCTTTTTCTCACTTCCAATTAATCTTTTTTTTTTTTTATTCCCCCTCTTTTTAAAAATAAAAAAAAAAAAAATAGAGTTCACCCCAAGCAAGAAAGTAAAGCCACTGAGACAAGGGGTTACTGGATGTGGAAGAGCAACATTGCTAAGGAGCAAAAACAGAGGAAGAGTAATCAAGACAGTAGATAGCGACTGCATTTAGATTTTTGCAAATTAAAGTTGTCTGGAAAGCATAGAAGGAACTTTCACAATCGAGAAGTGTGAGAAAAGAAACTGTTAGTATAAAATTTACAGTTACATCTAGCCAGCTCAACTGTAAGTTGGTGAGAACTCATTGCCAGTCTAGTACTGTGCTTAAATTTAAAAAAGTCTTGGTACCATAGCAAAGAGTTCATCAAAACAATTACCATGAAAGTACTTACATAAAAGGCAAATGGAGGCAACCTTATGGCAGTGAGAAAGTGACTAAAGCTGACACCAGATCAGGGCCAATAATACTGCTGATTCTTTAGATTTTATCAAGGAGCTCTAGATAAATAGCAGGAGCACAGAACTATATATGGCAGCAATATTCTAAACATGGAAAATGGTAGACTTATAGATATGAAAGACACTGGAGAAAAAAATCATCTAGCACAACACAGTGAACTAACCTTCCTAGCAGCCAACCTAGCAATGGATTCAATATAATCTTTCCACTTCATGTCAGCAGAGAAGATTAGCCCAAGAAGGCACAGAGAGTCACTCTCTTGGAGGTCAGCATCAGCCATGCAGATGAAAAGCAGAGTGGGTTCTCTCAGATGATTAATAGAGAGCAATTTAGTTTTGGAGGTATTAAAATTAACAAGCCATCCTTTGCTCCAGTTAACAGACTGAAGGTCATTTTGGTTATCAGCTGCCATTTTGACCTTAAATTGATCAGACTTATAGAGACAGGAGTAAATGGTTATGTCATCAGCATAGATACCAAGTTGAGAGCTGATGCCATCAGGATGGTCATTAATGAAAATTAAGAACAAAGTAGGATCAAGGATGGAGCCCTCAGGGACACCTGCATTAATACAATAGGAATTGGAAGAGTGGCCATTCAGGATTACTTTCATTTCATAATGAAAGAATGTTGGATTAGTTGAAAAATTTGTCCAGAGACACCATAACTTCAGCTTGTGTAAAAGACCTGCATGCTAAACTATCAAAAGCTTTCAAGATGCCCAAAGCTACAGCCTGGGCTTCACCTTTCTTATATAGAGCATGATAGATTTTCCACAATTATCATCAGTACATCAGCAGTTGACCTAGAGAAATAAAATAGGTCCTATAGCGGAAGAGGTTGCTGTAGGCTATAGCGGAAGAGGTTGCTGTAGGCTATAGCGGAAGAGGTTGCTGTAGGCTATAGCGGAAGAGGTTGCTGTAGGCTATAGCGGAATCACAATTAGCATGTTGAATAGAATGCATCACAGAGTGAATACAGTACTCTAGATTTCTTCAGACTGTTGCTGTTATAGAAATTACTATCCTTAATCCCAAACCAGCTAACTGCATATCTTTCAATAATGAAGAGATGGAGAAGTTTGTCATGCAGTTCTAGTGGATATGCATCTCTGGTCCATATAAACATTAATTTGCTACAGTTAATAATCTTGCATTATTTAGTGGTTCAATGTTCCAGGCAGCAAATCTAGAGTTAATTTCACATCTGGAAATTCTGATATTTAACATATTCTAAGCTCATCAATTGTCCTCACAGTATGTTCCATATCATACATGGAGTCATTGACAAATTCTATTTGAGAAATCTTTAGGAAATCTAGTGGACTTATTAAAGCAGTCAGGCTTTTTAATGTACCAGCAAAGAAAAAAAAGTTCTAAGAAGTCCTGATGTAGTAAGCAGCCAATTGAATCAATATGTAGAATATATACTAAAGTTAATCCATTTACTAAATGACAACACTGTATCATAAAACAGCCTATAAAATAGATACAATCTGGAAGTCACTTTTCTACAAATATAACTGCCAGTAACCAAGAAAATATTTAAAAGGAAAAAAAAAAAAAAAAAAAAAAAAAAAAAGCTATGAAAATTCTCCATACACAATACAGATCAGTAACCATGAATTTATTTCATTTTTATAAATATATCAAATGATAAAAAGCCTAAAGAATCAAACAAGTAGTAAATCCTTGAAAGCTGAGAATATTTCATATGGATAGAAAAAAAATATGCATGTTGGAATAGAAATATTTAAAGTATGAATTATTTTATAGAAGTGTTTCCACATTGCACCTTAAAGAGATAAGGATATAATTTGAAAATGGAAGCAAATGCGATACCTTCAAAATAGCATTTAGTGAAAAGTTATAAAAAAAAAAAAAAAAAAAAAAAAATACCTATTTCAGTAATAATCAAATAAGTTTTGTACATAATTTCTACACTTCAAAATAATAGCCCAAATATTTTTTAAATCCTCAGATTATTTAAATACAGCACATTTCAAAAGGATTTATACCTTTGAGAGCCTCAGATATTTATGTGAACATTATCATTTCATGAGAAACGTCAAATTAAATAGAACCAATATTAGCACAATTATTAAAATATTTGCAATCTGAAAACATTATGTTAACAGCAATATCAGATGATTTCATTGTGGTAAGTATTACAAATCTGTCAATTGACAGGTGGCCCAATATGAAGAAATGATGCAGAGGAATTCCTATGAATGAACACTATCCAATAAATCAATATGAGGAATAAAGAACAACAGACTGACCTTACGCATTCTCTAACACTGAAGCTACAGCAACTGCTATGAGTACAGACTGACTTTCCTTAACATGATGGAATTTTGTACAAGTCCAAGTATTTAATACTATTAACAGAAAAAATAAATCTATCACAATACTGCAATACTGATTAATTCAGGAATATTTTACAATTTTTACATCATAAATAGATAATGAGACAATAGCTAATCCAATCTTTAGCCAAACAAAGAAGTCCTTCCACCACCCCAAATTCTGATAATTGGGCATATGATCAGATTTTAAAAAATGGGTCAGGCTAATAACTTTTCAGCACCACCACAGTGTGTGTGTGTGTATATATATATATATATATAAAAAAAAAACACACACAATAACAGATGACACAAGTCAATGTTTTTCACAATATAACTGAAATTAACAGTGTCTGAAATTTTCATAATATACTTATGACAAATATACCATGACATGAGGATTCCAGTTTATATCCGAGATATTTGCAATAATTTATTTGGTGCTGTAATGTTTTATTATTCAGTCCAATATGCACCGATAATAGCTATTTTATAGTAATTTGGACATTCACTCATAGTTAAAACATTTCAAAATGATTTATACCTTTGAGTGAATGTACAAATTACTATAAAATAGCCATTATCGGTGCATATTGGGCTGCATAATAAAATATTACAGCACCAAATAAATGGAGTGATGGGAACGATATTGTAAATGGTCAAAAGGTTAAACAGAGTTCACAGGACAATCAAAAATGAAACTGAAAACACTTGAAAGATCAAGACAAAAACTGATATTAATAAAGTTGCTAAAATATTTGAGAAAATTAAAAGGGTAATAAGCAAAAAAGTGAATTCACTTTTAAATTGGTGGTGCAAATGTAAGAAGAGAGAAGATATATAGATTATTAAGCCAAAGTAACATCTAAGTAAAGCAGTAAAATTATAGGTCCCTTGAAAGTAGATTAATATGTCAAAATAATTGCAAAAATTATTTCAAGTTCTTGAGCAATATATCTTTTTGAATGGTACAGGTTAAAACCAAGAAACCTTTAAGCTAAAGAGTATGGCTATAAAAGACACTGCTTCTTGCTTCTTCACCACCTTCAAAAGGTAACTACTGTCCACCTTGCCCACCCCCACCAAATTTCAACAAATTAATGGCCAGCAACCTCTTCAGATATTAATCCTAACAAACTTGCTGAATCATTAAAAGATGTATATGATAATGAAAAAAATATTCAAAGCCTCTAGTAAACATGTTAATTAAAACAGTAAAAAAATGTAATAGCTTAAAAATTAATGAAGAAATGAATGTCAATAACAATCACCAGACTCCCCCCCACAACCCTGGTATATTAACATGCCAAATGAAATTGTTCAGATATATAGGATATTGTGTTAATTCAAATTTGTTTCTATAGTATGTGTAAAAAATTATATTGGACTTTGCATGATACAAGCTGGCACCCCCACCAAAATAGCTATTTTTTTTTTTTTTTTTTTTTTTTTTTAATAAGGATAGATTTAACCTGAAAATCACATTTGTAAAATCTATTCAGAAATTGTTAAACATTTATTGGTTAATAGTTTTTGTGGGAAAATATATAATTTAATACACAAATACAATTCTAAAGTGAAAATAAGTTACTTTACTAGTGGTATGCCTGTCATATTATAAAATGCAGAGTGTGTGTGTGTGTGTGTGTGTGTATGTTTATATATTGGATCGGATATCCTACATTTTTCAACTGATTTCAACAAAACTTCACAGGACTACATAAAATTACCTTGTGGTGGTTCTGACAGCGCCAAAAATTGAAAAAAAAAAACAATTGTTTTTGTAAGAAATCAATTTGAAAACCCGATAAAACACAATTCTGTTGCCAGAATGAAAGGGGGACAACTCATATCGAGTTATACTTATTATAAAACCCAGGTTGTTTGTGTGTGTATGTGTTCGTTTATATATGGGATCGAATTTCTTACATTTTTCAACCGATTTCAACAAAACATCACTTTTTCTTGGCAGGTAGTGTTTCTTATTGTCTTGCACACTTTTTTCTTTATTTTTACATTCAGAATGCTTTAAAAATTCCATTTACAAGACAATTGTTTATAATAAAATTCTATTCAATCGATAGACTCATAACGATTGAAAACAATGTTTTTGTTTGAGTTTGGGTTTGACCAATTCGTAACCCCCCCCAAAAAAAAAACTAATTAAGACATGCGTGTCCGTCAACCTTAAACAATAATCTTTGTCAATTTTATTTTTCAGTCTTTATGATGGTCGATACTTGATCTATCTCTTACTGTTACATCCCCGGGCAACGCCGGGCTCTACTGCTAGTTATAAATAGGATAAAGAATATGAAAAATACAATGACAATAGCAGTTGTTGAAAACTAACAGGACTATATGATCTTAAATGAAAAATAGTTTCTTTAATTGCTATGCAAGATATACTAGCAAGTTGTGTCACATGAACTGATGTTGAATAATTTAATAATATTTTACAATATCAAAGTATAAAACTAACAAATCAGAACAGACCGAGAACAGAAAAGGAGTAAAACACTTAACAGTATATAAAAATTACAGAAATTCAGAAGTATTCAGTGGTTTTTTTTTGCCTTCATTTTTTACTGTAAATATGTGGTTTAATGTTTGGTATACTTATACAAAATAATAGTTTTATATAAGACCATTAATTGTTATATCAACAATGGACCACAAAATAAAAAAATAAATAAAGTTCAGGATTTAAAATAAATGTGTGAAAACTAAATCACTTCTTGCCATGTTCATTGAGTAAATGTCAATTTAGCATGTATATTATTTTTTGTTTTATAAAATTAATTTTACCCCAAAGGCAAAAATTCAGCCTATCTACCTCATAATTTACAGTTAACAGAACTACTTAATTTGCTTCAGATCATTTAACAATGTAAAACTAAATTTGACAAAAAAAAAAAAAAAAAAAAAAAAAAAAATAGATCACATGCGAACTTAATATCATGTAGTGTATGCCTTACTTGGTATCTGGTGGAAATTCCATAATTTTATATATATATATATATATATATATATATATATATATATATATATATGAAAAGCGTCTATTTCTTCATATTACAAAGTTATATTTACATATTCTTCACTCACAAAATCTGCCTGCATGAAAAGCATTATCTAGTAATATACTGGTAGATTTTTTAGGCATATACAATTATACATGTACATACACATTCTTAATATACACATCAAATGTCCAACAATTCAGTCAGTCAAGCCTATTTTTGCAGGATGTGAATCTAATAAGCTAAGGATCAGAGTAGCAAATTTATGTTATTTTCCTGATCAAAGTTTGTCCAACAACAAAAGAATTCAAGTGGTAAACAAATTTCTTTTTCAGAGAACACAAGTCAGTTGTTTATTCTTTCCTATTTTTTTTTTAACTTAGCATTCTGCATTCTTCAAAAGTAATACTTTTCCTTTCGTGCATTGTTTCAAGGGCTTCTCAGTTGCTGTAGCCTCATTGTCAAAGTCATTTTATGTTACTATAGCCAGACAACTTCAAAATTTAAATGCATTCTCTTTTAGCAGAGTTGGCTACAGTGGCAGGACAAACATTTTACTCAGCAAAGTTGCTTACTAAAAAAAAAAAAAAAAATAAAAAATAAATTATTTTGTTACTTACCTCCATAAATTGAACAGTAACCTTGAATGTTGGAGGAGGCACATTATCATGTGCTGCCTTTTCCTTTCGCTTTTCTATTCCTTCAAATAAATGCTGAATGGCCCGAGGTATGATACCTACTTCATAAGGGTCAACATCAACATCAAATCCTGTACCCATCGTGTATGTTTTGCCAGAACCAGTCTATAAAACATCAAGGAAACAAAAAGACGAATGATCAGTAGGATCTGGAAATACTGCTTAAGCTAAATTTAAGATTTTATTATAAAAAAACTTTGACAAAACAACTATCAGCAAGTATGGATTCTTGCTCAGGTAAAATTTAGAATTAAATGCTATCTCTTAGAATGATGACAGAGAAATTTCTAAATAAAATTATTTCAAGATCTTTTTAACATCAAGAGGTTCACTATGAATAAAGTCAAGAGCACAAGTGGTAAACTGCATAAGGAGTAGATGAAAAAGTAAAAAGGAATTATCTTTATACAAAAATCATCATTGTTCTCATTTCTGGTTTTGTTCTGCTCAGAGTTTGTTCATTCAATTTTTTTTTTTATTAATAATAATTATAATAATAATTATAATAATAATTATAATAATAATAATTTTCTTACATAGTTCTTTAAGCTGATTGTTTATTTACACCAGGTTTCTTTCACAATGCTAAGAATATTGAACTATTTCAACATTTTGGTATCTTTTCATTATTGCACCTTTCATTTATAAGTCATCGAAGGCTATCAACATCTTGATTAAAATATCATCTGGCCCTGTTTTGCCATGGAACAATTCTCTGTACTTAATCTACTGTTGCAGTATCTCTTTGTTTTCCCCTCCATAATGATCATGTCATCTTCAGATTTTATACATCCTTAAGAGGATTTTTTATCCTATTTCTTTGTACAGTTTTTTTTCCCTTCAATCTCTGCACATTTTCTGTTCAGCCATTCCTCTTTAGCCTGCTCTCACTTATCAACATTTTGTTTAGTTTCATCTGCTATCTCTCCTTTATCAGACCAAGAATTTCACTCACAACCCACTTTTTCTCAAAGGACTTCATAAGCTTGTTTGAAAATGGAGTCACCATGGAGTTTTTGATATTGAAATTTAGTCATTACTTTGAGTTTCTTTAAATTATTATTGCACTCAACACTTGGGTAGATTTTAAAGAATCAAATTAAAAAAATGATAGAAGATACTAAATTTAATTGTCATGACAAAGTCTTAACTAGAATATTTATTTTAATACCTTTTAAAATAAAAATATTAATCCTAATTTAAAAAAATAATAAAAACAAGATGTTAAAATAAAATTTGATCGATATGTCCATATATATCCAAGAAAAAATTTTTTTTATTTGAGATCTAATCTTTTGGAAAAGAATTAAAAATTACTATGCTGTATGAAAATGGAAAAAATAGTGGAGAAATCTGGAGTTAAACATAAGTGTGGCTTTCTTAGTTTTAAACCCAAACTGATCTTGCATGATAAAAACTTTCACATCAAGAATATTATCCTTTGTAAAACATTTACCATAAAATGCACACACAAATGCAGGCAATCCAATGAACCCATAGACACAGAATATTTAAGAGGATGTTTTAATTATCAATATTTTTCTCAACACCTATTTCAGTGGTTAATATTAATCACTGAATATTATCCAGTAATCAAAATTTAGCTAATCATTTCTTTGGTTACAAGTTTATTGATCTATTCATTCACGAGAATTGTAAAAGCTTTTTACAGGCTATACTTTAGAAACCTTGAACTGCATACACTTAAATGTTTTACAATATTAACATACTGTCAAATACTTCAGCTTAGAAGAGATTAAGATTCAAATTACAATTTCATTTTAATGAGTTCAAATACAAAAAGTCAACCTTGACAGGAGTAATTAGAAAATAGATTGAAATCAGATGGTTTTGTTTGTTCATTAATAAAGTAAATTAAATCATTTGTTATGAATTAAGAAAAAAAATATTCTTTTAAAAATTGAGAAAATTTTAATATGCAAAACTGTAGATACTAGTATAATAGTGTTGTTTTTACTAACTCACAATCTGAAAATCAAAAGATGAAACTGATATTTATATCAATTGTTCAGAGTACATATAAAAATAAAGTGGAAAAGAAAATTTAAAAACTTATGGCGTTTGTATCTAAATAAAACTTACCTGTCCATAAGCAAAAACTGTAGCATTGTAACCATCAAAACATCTGCAAAAATATTAAAATCAGATATTTACAAACAAATTCTACAAGAAAAATAATTATATACACTAAAATTGTGAAATGTATGAATGCTAACAAATATTTTATTCATGAACCCACGAGTTTCTCTTATAATTACTGAAAGTTGTATAAAAAAATAAAAAATATATATATATATATATATATATATATATATATATATATAGCTCATTAACATTACATGTGGAACTATGAATTTAAAATTCACAACTTGTATAAAACTAGTTTCTAGTAATAATTAAATTTTGCTGTTTTGATTTTAACATGTTTAGCTGGATACTTCACTATATGATACAAAAAATTTAAAAGAATGAATTTTAGTAATTTAGCTCTAATATTTGTAAATAGAAGTAAAAGCTAAAACTAGGTTTAGATCAATGATAAAAATAAACAATTTAAGCAATCTGAAGTATTGAAAATTTGGAACAATATTAACAGAATTCAGTTCATTAATAAAAAAGAAAAAAATTCCCTAGCTTTGATGTTAATGTAAACAGCAATCATCTTATTCATATGAAGTCATTATTCCTTGTAGCAGTTACCAACAATATGGTAATATTAAAATTAATTTTATGAGAAGTGACTTATACCAATTTTCCTTCGAATGCATTAAAGTTTAAAAAGGTGCAAAAGCCTCATGCCTTACTTTTAACCTGCTGAGAGAGAGAGAGAGAGAGACTTATTCAATGCCTTCATTCTTCTGAAGATCATTGTTGATAAGCAATAAAGTATCTGTAAAGTATAAACACTTATAGAAAGTAAGCTAAGAGTTTAAATACATTTGAAAATCAGTCTCAGCTGACAGAAAACTAATATTTTTTATTCATTAGCAACACAATTAACACTTACTAAACGGTTTTATACTTTCAATTAAAACTGAGTAATGTTCATTTTCTACAAAAAAATCTGTTTTGATATAAGATTTATGCATTCCAGAAGTTATACACCTAAATAAAAAATAAAAAAAATCCTGCAAATTTATGATGCTTTTTTTCCAAAACAAGAAATTCAGAATGTTAACATTTAAGCTGCTTATGATCAATATTTGTAAGCATTGAAAACTATTTCAAATTTAAGTGAAGAATTTGAGTAAGAGTAATATACTCACCCTTCAACAAGCATTTTTACACATGAATTATAGATAGTATCCTGCAGCGTGTCCCTATCAAAGACATGATCAAAGGTGAAGGCCTTGTCCTTTCCGAGCACTACTTGAGGTTCCTCTGGAATCACCTCAGTACAAATTTGACACATATCAACTTTTTCCCTTCCATTTTGAGGACGAATTCTATTAAGAAAAAAAAATATACCAATATAAATACTTCAACAAGGAAATATTGCATTTTTAAATATAAAATTTTTTTTAAATTGTCTGGTCCAAGTGAACTTTATAAAATTCAAGATAAGACTATCATTGATATAACTTTCTGATGAGAAAAATTTTTGCAAAGTTTCAATATCTAAGTATTATCTTAAGTAAAAAATATTTTTCAATATCCTCCATTTAAAAAAACAAACTACTCACAGTGCTAAGAAAAAATTTGAATAATTGAAAAAAAAAAAAAAAAAAAAAAAAATTTTTATAAGCCTGCTTCCATTCTAATATGAAGCTACACAAACTTAAGGAAAAAAAAAAAAAAAAAAAAAAAATATTTGGTGTAATATTAAAAAAACATGATCTAACCATTTTAGAACTCCTTTCAGAATTTACAAACTAAATTCTTTGTGGAATATATATTCATTTGTTTATCTAAAACCTAAAGCCAATTAGGACATGATTCAAGTATTGCAGGCAAAAAAAAAAAAAAAAAAAAAAAAAAAATATTGATTTAATGCCTAGAGAAAAATCAATGATTTGATTTCTAGAACTGCAGAAGATATCACCACTAGCAGCCTGACTATACAACCCTTTCTTGGTGAGCTGATACTAAAGACAAAATAGTAAAGGAATCATTTTGATCAATACCCAGTGCAGAATCCAATATCTTTTGCCAACAAATAATCAGATATGTATGGAAGAAATGGCTACTTTGTTTGGATACAATTAAAATTCTGCAATATCATTACAGGAAAAAAAAAAAAAAAAAAAAAAAAAGTTAACAGTAAATGATTTAAAGATAATCCTGAAGTAAATGCTTGTAGTTTACAGAAAGAACAAATTTATAAACAAAACAAAAAGAAAAGAGAAAGACAGCATGACATTTAATAAAATTGAAATTTCATAAACCTGCCTGAAATCTTTATCCCACCATGCAAATATGTTATCTTAACACATCTATTTGAATAGATATTCAAAATTCATTATTGTTTTCATTACAATCTAGCATAAGCCAAAACAATTAGTAGGAATTAATTTAATATTTTTTTAAATTATAAACTTGATAATATTAAGACATTATGACTGTGATACATGATGTCTACATCGCAAAGTATCTAATTTTCTTCCAAAAAGCATTTGTCAGCAACTCTCAGTCTTATGCCAATTTAAGGTTCAGACTAAAATTATCTGATAGGAAAAAAAAAAATTCCTGATAACTTAAAGGAAATCAAATGAAAGCAAAAAGAAAAACTTTAAACAAGTTATTCAGTTATACAGCACAGCTTTCTATTTGTACAAGATTTTTTATAATCATGAAAGAACTTCATGAAACTAGTATTATATACAATCATTGAAAACACAAGATTTACAAAAACAAAAAAAAAAAAAAAACAAAATTATCTAATATTGTAAGAATGCTAAATTTTTTTTTTTTTTAATCATTTCACACCAAGAAAGGTGAGAATGCCACTAGTATACAAGAGGTTACAGAGAATGAAGAAGAGAGGAAAGACTGAATATAGTCTAGGGGGCAAGGAAATGATAAAAGCTGAATGGGGTTCAAGAAGATACAAGATGCTGACACTGCATTTAAATTTTTGACAGTTATCTGGAAAGCAAGGAAACAGAAGGGAGTTCCACAGGTGGGAAGTGTGAGAAAAACTGGAGTAGAAGTGGCTGTTACATTTACCTAATTCAACATGCCTATCTATTAGCACACTTAAACACATGTAGTCTAGGCACCAGGCTAAAAAAGCTCAACAGAGCAGTTGCCATGAAAATATTTGTAGAAAAAAAAAAAAAAAAAAAAAAACAGATGGAAGCTACATCATGTCATTAAGACAGTTGCTGAAGTCAAGATGCCAAGTCAGGATCAATTACATTGCAGATCTTTCTTTGGCTTTTGTCAAGGACCTTGAGATGAGTAGCAGGAGCACCTAACCAGATATGGCAACAATATTCAATACATGGATGAATGGTAAATTTGAAGGATGAATGGTAAATTTGAAAGATGAACTGACAAGAAAAACCTGGCATGACAGTGACCCAATTTTCCTTGCAGTAGATGCAGCTATTGATTTGATGTAAGCATTCCACTTCAAGTCAGTTGAGAACATGAGATCAAACACACATCCAGTAATACTGCAGCCCTGGAGCTTATGTAGAAGACCAGCATGCCAAGCCCTGTCAAACATCTTCAAGATATCTAGACCCACAGCTTGAGCTTCACCATTATTATAAAGAGCTTGATATACATATTCAGTGATGGCCATTAGCATATCAGCAGTAGATCTGGCAAAACAGAAGTCATATTGTTTGTCAGAGAGTAGGGTGCAAGAGGCAAGATATTTAAGCATGTCAGTATCGATTAAAGTCTAATACTTTTCCAAAAGGCAGTAGAAGACAAAGAGGACAATAGTTAGGTGTCAGAAGGTTCTCCAGAGTTCTTAAGAACAGGTACTACAGAGGAGGACTTCCAACAAGCAGGGAGCAGCAAGGCAATAGTTGTAGAGTTTGGAGAGAACTGGAGCCAGCTTAGGAGCTTTAGGATGATGGCTGGGATCACATCACCTCCTCTTGCCTTATGAGAGTCTAATTTAGAAATAACTAGCAGTAAAGCCCAGCATTGCCCGGGGATGTAACAGTAAGAGATAGATCAAGTATCGACCATCATAAAGACTGAAAAATAAAATTGACAAAGATTATTGTTTAAGGCTGACGGACACGCATGTCTTAGTTTTTTGTTGGTTTTTTTTTTTTTTTTGCAAATTGGTCAAACCCAAACTCAAAACAAAAAACATTGTTTTCAATCGTTATGAGTCTATCGATTGAATAGAATTTTATTATAAACAATTGTCTTGTAAATGGAATTTTAAAAGCATTCTGAATGTAAAAATAAAAAAAAAAAGTGTGCAAGACAATAAGAAACACTACCTGCCAAAAAAAAAAAAAAAAAAAAAAAAAAAATTTGTTGAAATCAGTTGAAAAATGTAGGAAATCCAATTCCATATGTAAACGAACACAAACAACCTGGGTTTTATAATAAGTAAAACTCGATATGAGTTGCCCCCTTTCATTCTCGTGATGCCTCTTTAATCATGTTTTCAAATTGATTTTGTGCAAAAACAATTATGTTTTTCCCATTTTTGGCACTGTCAGAACCACCGCAAGGTAATTTTACGTAGTCCTGTGAAGTTTTGTTGAAATCGGTTGAAAAATGTAGGAAATCCGATCCAATATATAAACGTAGACAGACACACACACAACCTGGGCTTTATAATAAGTATGATGTCTGGGATCTGTGGCAGGGGGTTATGCACATATCACTCAGTAGAATCCCTGTTCAAGGAGGGAAATCGGGTGTGGTACTCCAATTGAGTTGTGTGTCGAAAAGAATTTCCAAGCAAATCATTCATATTTATCTGCTGTAGATGTCAGAACTTTGAATTGATTGAATAGAGGAGGAATGTAGGATTTACTGTTTGAACAGTAAATCCTACATCCCTCTATTCAACACTTGCAGAGCCACCAATAATCTCTAGGACCAAACTTGAGAGATGCTATATGTGGTTTCATTTTATCAGCAAACAGTAACTTCACTTCTTTCAGGAAGGGAACTGGCACAGACTGTTGATCAGAGCAGTCTCAAGACACTATACAAGAGTTCAGGCTCCTAACTACCAGTCAAGAACAGCAACCAGAAAAATGCCAACCAGTACACTCAATATGAAGAGACATTTCCACCATCTTCACATATCACAAAAATTTCATTACAGAACTACTATTAAGGCCTAAGCAAAGGAAAAGAATCTCTTCCTAAACAGGAAACAAGGTATGAGCCTGTACTCCTGTTCAAGAGCAGTGGGAGGAGTATGGACCAAGCAATAAGAAAGTCTATCCATTCCAGTCATGGTTCTGATTATGATTTCCATTTATTTTGATAAATGAACATTCAGATAATGAATTTGGAGTCAATCAACGGCTATAGAACTTTTGGCCATGTTTAACTGACATTCTAGTATATAAGAAGGGAAAGGAGGCAATAGGAATGGGGTAACAAAATTGGTAAACGACACAATGTTCTTTGTAAAGTAGCTGGTTAGTGTAGCAGTGAGCTTGACACTATATAGAAAGAGTAGACCAACATTGTTTCAATGGTGCTTTGATACAATTATGGCAACTTTGAGGTGAATTTTTCTCATTTCCATGGTCAAAAGCATGCAACTATCTCAAACTTGGGACGGAAGACGATGGTCGGGGTGAAGGACTGCTTTACTTAATCAACCTAATTTTCTTTCAGCTTCTAGCAAAGGAATCAAAGTAAACATTTTGCAGAATTATACTTCTTGTAACTAAAAACTCAATAGAAAAGCATATTTCACCCAGTAACCAACTCTTTTAATCAATTTATTCATTATGAATAAAACTTATTTTTTGTGAATGAGAAAACACTAGATTGTATTCACTTATGTATTAAATCTAAGAATAAATGGGCTGAGATTAATTTTATTTTCAGATGTGAAGGAAAAAAAAAAAAAAAAAAAATCTAATTCAGTTTTAGCAATACTGAGAAATAAATTAGTATACAATTGATCTGAAATATTAAATAGTAATTTAAGATTATTTTATTGATATTAAATTCTGCATTCCTACCAGTTGTAATAACTGGTAATATTGTCAAAATTTTAAGGAGTTTTATAATTGGTTAGGTTCTCATGTACAAAATTTTCATTTTGAAATATATGATGAGGTCCAGAGGGGAAATTGTTTATGGAAAAAAAAGTTACAATTAAAAACTGTATGCATGCATGCATGCATGAAGAGATATGTTGAGATTTCAAAAGTAAATTTAAAAAGTTTCCACCATTAATTCCAAAGGATCAAAGAATCAATATTTGCAGATAATAGTTATACAGCATTATAATTTTGACAAAAACTAGCCTACAAATGACAGGAACATATGATTGCAG